AGACAAAAAAAAAAAAAAAAAAAAAAAAAACTCTTATTGCTGCTGCTTTTATGAAAATTATTGTGAAAATCTTAGACCTTTAAAAATATATATATGGGTGTGATGATAGGAAAAAAAGGAGGAAAGTGTTAATGAAAATTTTTTAGAGCAATAGATATTCACCAGTTGTCTACTATTATTTTTTCCTACTTTGTATGAATATTTTCATTTATTCTTTTGGTACCAACAGCACTGATAGGTATTTTGAAAAAGTCCAATATTTCAGATGATAAATTCATTTGAATTTAGTCAACTATGCTAACAACAACAAAAAGGAAATTCAGGCCTAAAAGAGGTCAGAGAATTTATCTAGTTCATAATTCTCAGTTTGCAGTTGAGAAAAGTGAGATTGTTTATGGCAGACCCAGGTCTGATCTCCAAACTCCTGGTGTATGACTCCTAGAATTATTCCCAGATTGCTTTTCATTTAGTGCCTGAAGTCAGCACAGGATGAGTGGAAATTTTGATTGTTGGGGGTTTGTATCTGTCGGCAATTCTGGAGCATTGGGTGCTTTATTAAGAAGCATTTATTGAGTATGTGCTTTATTCCAGGCAGTATGCCAAATGCTGTTGACAGCAGAGATGAATAAGACTGGTCCATATACTCTGTAGTTTATGGTCTAGAGCAGTGGTGTACAAAGCAAGATCACAATTATTTTCATAATAGTAAGGCACTGTTTGCCTTTTTTATTGTGTTGATTCTCGCACTGATAGTGCAAATTTAATGGCGGGTTAAACTCCCTAGCATGAATCAAGGCATTGGAACCGAACTAGACTAGTAGTCATTGTACTCGTTATTGCCACACACTTGCAGTTAAAAAAAAGAAATACCAATTTCACTTAAGAGTGTCCTTGATGATGCAGTAGAAGTTAGTAACTGTATTAAATCTTGACGCTTGAGTATACATGTCTCTTTAAGATTCTGTGTGATAAAATGGGAAGTATGCATAAAACCCTTCTGCTGCATACTGAAATTTCTTGGTTGTCTTGAGGAAGCACATGTGTTATTTCATTGCAAGCTGAGCTAGCTGCTGTTTTCACAGAGCACCATTTTTATGTGAATGATCAACAGACATATAATCTGTGGTTATTAAAACTTGGCAGACATTTTCTCTAAAGTAAGTGAAGTGAGCTTGTCACTTTAAGGAAAATAATTGACAATATTGTGGCCAGTGATAAAATTCAAAGCTTCAAGTACAAACTAGGACCTTGTATCTCCACCATTAGTTTGACAGTATTCCACTACTTTTCTGATGAGGTCAGTATTAATATTAACAAATAAAAGTTTTTAGATGTCCTGTGGTGAAATGTGTCAATAATGGGAGAACTGCCTAACTCAGTGAACCAATATTTTCTAAATGATTAATGCATGATGTTATAAAATTGTGCACCAGTATAATATCCATTCAAAGTGCAAGATAGAATCACAGATTTTAATGTAACAGAATATGAAAATTTATATAGTATCAGATTCCACATTGCAGCTAACCTTTACAAACGACAATGATTACAAAGGAATTGTAAAAACAAAGTTGAAAACCGCTGTTCTCGAGAGTGGGAGGAGGAGAAGATAGATTTATAAAATAATTATTCAGTGAAACATATATGTTCCAAATAATGGGTTCATAGGGAGCTGAGTGATTCTGCTATGAAATGTAGAAAATGGATGAGAATATAGGGTAGCATCAGTGTACAGAAAGGGTCTAGGAGGAAGGGGAGTGGATTTATGTTTAAGACAGATTTTGCCTGTTTCAGAAGTCTGCCCAAGGCTAGGCCTATACCTGAGAAAGGCATAAGAAAATGTATTTTCTTTTCCCCTCTTCTCTACCACATGTCTTTCCTCGAAATTCAGATATAATATGGATTATATAACCTTTATGGTATTGTCTAGGGTGGGCTTTGCAAACTTTCACATAAAAGTTTAGGCTTTGTGGGCCACATGGGCTCTATTTCAACTACTCAGCTCTGCTATTGTGGTGCAAAAGTAGTAAAAGAATGAGTGTGGCTGTGTTCCACTGAAATTTTTTTTTAACATAGTTTGCCAACCCCTGGTCTAGGACATTAACTACTATTATGGGTTTATTACTATATGGAGATATGTGTTTCAAGCTCCAAACAACTGACTCACAATGGAAATATTATTTTAAGTAAACTTTTAAAATGCCCCATGCTTGTTAATTTGGGGAGTATTCCAATATGAATCTTAATTGTCCACTGGCTGTCATAACATTGGTGATTATTTTTTACAGTAGATCTTTGGCACTGGAGAATTTAATATTTGACCTGGAAAGTCTTCCACATGTAATTTGTCATTTTGCTCATAAATAAACATTTGTTAAATTGTACATGGACGTAAGTACTATCCAATATGGTAGCCACTACCACGTATGGTTATTGAACACTTGTAATGTGGCTAGTCCAAATTGAGGTGTGCTTTATGTATAAAATACTTTACACATGAGATTTGAAGCCTTAGTATGGGCAAAGGAATGTATAATATCTCATTATCTTTTTATATAGATTACATGTTGAAATGATGATATTTTGAATATATTAGGTTAAATAAAATGTTAAAATTAATGTCACTTTTTTTAATGTTACTACTAGAAATTTTTTAATTCCTATGTGACCTGCACATATCTTTTTGTATTATATTTCTGTAGCGCTGGTGTGAATTGCTCCTTTGGCTCAAACTTGGTCTCACGTTTTATTTCACACTCCAGTTTATTCTAAAAAATGTTTTGAGATCCTTATCTCTGAATTGATTTGGGAGAATAGGCTTGATTATGACTCTACAATGCATTATTTTGTATTCTTAAATTTCACTCTGTGTACAAAGGGGAATAACAGAGTTGTCTTAAAATGGCAGGATTATAGTACCTTTTATTTTATTTATTTATTTATTTGGTGGCTGACAAGTACAGGGATCTGAACCCTTGACACCTGTGCTCTAACCAGCTGAGCTAATCGGCCAGCCCTATTGTGGCTTTTATATGAATATGTCCTGAAATTATTTTCATAATTTAGAAATTGTGAGGGGAGGGGTTTTGAATGTAAGCATATGTTAGCCTGACTTTATTTTTATTTTATTTTTGGCATGTAGCTTGTAGATCCTGGAGTTAAAGCATGGACACCCACTAAAGGAAAACAGAATGTGATCATGTTTGTTGGATTGCAAGGGAGTGGTAAAACAACAACATGTTCAAAGGTAAATTATGCCTAATTAAAAAGAAAAAGACATATAGGAGGTTTGTATAAATCAAGTTTTGTGTTAAAGCCAGGCTTTATAATACTGTTGCTTTACAATTTTGTGTTACTTGATGTACCTATTATGTTTTTGTAATAGTTTGTAGGATTGGAAGAGGAAATTTCATAGTCTCTTGTGATTGCTTTTTTAAGAATGGTAGACTTCTATAGAACTATGTTATTTCTTTTATTAAAAAAAGACTGTTCCTATACTTTAAGGAAGTGAGTATATGATTTTTGGAAAAGAGAATGTGGAAATTTTACCTTAAGTTCTATAGCTCAAGATTCCCTTTTCAGTGTCTCACCCAGCATAATACAGATCTTCATTTTGCATATCCTTATACTAATTTTTAATTTATTATACCACTCATTTTCCAGGATTGGGTATCTCAATGTTATCAGATATTTTTTTTTCCTATAAGCTTCAACTATGTTATAGTTTATGGGGGGGGAAAAGACAAGATTATTTTTAGAGGGTTTTGTTATTGTTAGTTATGGTTAACATTAATAGTAGTTAATGTTTTTTTATTATGGTCATTGGCTACTTGATTATTTTATATCCTTTGAATATGACTGTATGATAATTAAACTCTTTAAGAAATTTGCTGTATTAAAAAATCTTTGGGGCTTCCAGTCAAGATGGCAGAATAGACAGTCCCCAGTATCACTCTCTCCCAAGAAATCAATCAATTTACAGCTATAAAAAAGCAACAACAGCCAAGCTCTGGAGCCTCTAGAGCTCAGGGGAAGAGGAGGAGAGACCTACGGAGTGCATGATGGTGGGAGAAGCCACGATGAGAGAAAGAAAAAACCATTCCGACCATTTCATGCTTCTGTTGCTTTAAGGCTGGAGCTATTGAGCGTACAGAGCAGGAGCCAGCAAAAGCCACAGCTGTGCCCTTTGGATGAAGTAGCTTGGAGGTGGCAGGGGAGAAGAGGGTCTTGGTGGCCTCCAGGGCAGCAAGACCACTAATAGGTTTCCTGTGGACCCACATAGGAGTGAGGAGCCAGAACACCTGAAAAAAGGAGCCACTCAGAGGCCGGTGAGTCATTGCAAGGGACTGCTGCACAGCCTGCCCCATGAGAAGTATTTGTAGCATGGGCAGTGGGGGAGATGGGCCCACCAGGGGAATATCGGGGCACAGCAAGGACAGCTGACTGGCACCCCAATCAGTGAAGAACCACTCAGAGGAGACTGATCAGGAATATAGAATTGCATGCGGTGCAGTTTGATGAAACGACTCAGGCCCAGATCAGTTTCTGTATAACCCAGGTGCAGTGGGTCTCTGGAGAGCTGGAAGTACCTATAAAGTCAACCATAAAACCTGAGCTGCACAGAAAGCCTTCCCTAGGGAATCAGCAGCACAGCAGCAGTTTAGCTAAACCACACAGCTCAAGTACTGGTCCCCACAGGAAGTACTCCCAATTTTAGAAGTAAGCAAAGGACAAAAAATTAGTTCCAGCCCAGGCATGCTATCAGCACCTCGGGCTGCATGGGGCCTTGAGGTATGGAGCTGGGGACAGGACCCCCCTTCCACAACCAGGCACTCCGCCAGCCCCTCGGGGCCTGCCTGGGGATCTGAGGCATGGAGTCAGGGACCAGCCCTCCACCCCCACAACCAGGCACACCACTGGCACCAAGGAGCATGCCAAAAACATCACCTTCGTGTGGGTAGCCCACCACAATAACCATGGCTGCTGTGAAAGTGGCTAGATGCCACAACCACCATTCAGGTGGTCCGCCAGCTGCTGGAGTGCATTGAAACAAGGAGAGTCACCAGCAGGGATCGAAGAAAAGAAGAGGATGTCTCTCTTCACAAAGCCCATTCCAGAGTGGTAGAAGAACCATCTGCTCTACGGTAATATTGGGGAACCTGAACACACCTCTCAGCATTGGACAGATCATCTAGGCAACAAATCAACAAAGTAACCATTACTCTTTCAGAAGGAGTGAAGAAATCTAGGGTTAACGGGGGGAGGAGGGAGGGAGAGGGGTATAAGGAGAGATTGGACAAGGGGCATAAAGAATAAGTATGATTTGTAACAATATATATGCTAGTAATATTGATTTGATCAACATATGTCAACATTGAACCCCAAAATATGTATAATCAATTATAATTCAATAAAAAAAAATAAAGAAAAATACATGGTGGAAAAACTGAGGAAATCAAGTAAAGTCTACAGTTTAGTTAATGTTAAAGTACTAAGATTAATTTCTTAGTTTTGACAAATGTGCAATGGTATATAAAATGACACATGGGAGAAGCCGGTGAGGGATAGTCAGGGACTCTTTTCAGGGACTCTTTTGACTATCTTTGCAACTTTTTTGTAAATCCAAAATTATTCCAAAAGAAAAAGTTTACTTTTAAAAAGGAAAAAAAAAAAATCTTTAGGGGCCGGCCCGTGGCTCACTCGGTAGAGTGCGGTGCTGATAACACCAAGGCCATGGGTTCGGATCCCATATAGGGATGGCCGGTTCACTCACTGGCTGAGCGTGGTGCTGACAACACCAAGTCAAGGGTTAAGATCCCCTTACCGGTCATCTTTAAAAAAAAAAAAAAAAAAAATCTTTAACAATATTACTTTCAGGAGAATTATGAGCAGTTTTACTTTAGGTAAATAATAAGGATAAATAGAAGAAATTATGTGTATAATTTATTATATTTTATGATATATTTTTTTAATCTTCCTTCTGCAGTTAGCATATTATTACCAGAGGAAAGGTTGGAAGACCTGTTTGATATGTGCAGACACATTCAGAGCAGGTAATGTGTTGAAATTTAGAAATTGTTTTCTGTAATTTTATTTTCAAGTTTGAGATTCATTAATTCTTTATCTCTTAGGGGCTTTTGACCAACTAAAACAGAATGCTACCAAAGCAAGAATTCCATTCTATGGAAGGTAGATAACTATTTCTTATTTTGTTTCCTTTTTACTGCCTGTTTTTTTTTTTTCTTTCTTTTTCTGTTTTTTATTCTGAGACTTATATGCCTCATCTCTGTCTGACGTGTATGTGTGTCTCTCCCTCTCTCTCCCTCTCTCTCCCTCTCTCTCTCTCTCTCTCTCTCTGTGTGTGTGTGTGTGTGTGTGTGTGTGGCTGACCGGTATGGGGTCTGAACCTGTGACCTTGGTGTTAAAAGGCTAACCAACTGAGCTAACAAGCGATCCTGCCAGACTTTATTTTATACTATCTGGTTACATTTTAACATATATTTATAATCCTTTCTTGAACAAAGTAGGGGTGTAATTAATAAATTATCTTTTAAAATAATTTAATTTAATTTTAATTTATCAATATACAACGTAGTTGATTTTTTTTTTTTTTTTTTTTTTTAAAAGATGACCGGTAAGGGGATCTTAACCCTTGACTTGGTGTTGTCAGCACCACGCTCACCCAGTGAGCAACCGGCCATCCCTATATGGGATCCGAACCCGTGGCCTTGGTGTTATCAGCACCACATTCTCCCGAGTGAGCCACAGGCCGGCCCCAGCGTAGTTGATTTTTGTGTCCCTTAACCAATTCCTCTCTCCCCCTTCCCTAAGTATCTTGTATTACTATAATCTGATCCTTCTGATCCAGCCTGGTAAATCAGAGTGGGCATTGTTTAGTTCATGACTCTGCCTGTGCTTATTGTCCTGCCTAGCATGCTTTCCTATCTCATTCTGCTTCTGGTGAATTCTGGAATTCACACTGGTAAATGTCACAGGATAAGTTTCTTTAGTATGTATCATTTAAAAACATTTGGATTTGATCACCCTAAAATGGCTTATAATCTTTAGTTACCTCAGGTAGAGATTCTGATCATTGCTATCCCTTGCTTGATACATTATTATTCTGTTAGGTAATCTGTACATCTTAGAATGATTAATTTAAAGAATCAAGTCTGGATTGAATTTAGAAGTACTTATTTGAGGGACTTTTTACTTAGAAGGACTTCTACTCTTTGTCTGGCCAGAAAAGCTAGTGAACTTTGGCTATGATATGTTCTTTATTTAGTTTTTTTTTCTTTCAGTCATGTTTTTTAATGATCATTTCTAACAGATAAATAAAAGAATAATGTTAGGAATTTTTTTTAGGATAAAAATGATTTCTAATATAGTTTTAAACATTAGAGATAATAAACAGTTTTTTTTGGTTCAGGGATATGAACCCATGACCTTGGTGTTACCAGCACCACGCTTTCCCAAGTGAGCTAACAACAGTTATATTTTTAACGCTTACAATTTGCACATGATATAATTTAGTTGATAATTACTTATCTATTGTCCAAAGCCAGAGGGGCCCACTAATTTTTTTTTTTTTTTCCTTTTTGTCTTTTTTCCTGACCGGCAACGGATCGCAACCCTCAGTGTCGCGCCCATACCGGACCGGGACCGGCCACGGGATCGCAACCCTCGGTGTTGCTCCCGCCCCTTGCTCAGCCAGTGAGCGGCCAGTCTGTATGTGGGATCTGAACCCTCGGCGGAAGCGGCGCACTATAGCAGTGCACCACCGGGCCGGCCCGGGGCCCACTAATTTTTTTTTTTTTTTGTCTTTTGTCTTTTTCCGTGTCCGGCAACGGATCGCAACCCTCAGTGTTGCCCCCGTACCGGACCGGGGACCGGCGACGGGATCGCAACCCTCGGCGTTGCTCCCGCGCCTCGCTCAGCCAGTGAGCAGGAACCGGTCTGTATGTGGGATCCGAACCCTCGGGCGGGAGCGCCGCCGCACTTCCCAAGCGGCGCACTATCCAGTGCGCCACCAGGCCGGCCCATAATTTTTAACCAGTATTCTCAATATCAGAGTGTGTCATAGCATTTCAAAGAAACATTTATGTACTAATTATAATGTCTATATTTTTAGTACCAAGAAATTGGAAAAACCTTAAATGTCCACAGCAGGGCATTTATTTAATATAGGATAATATAGCTATCTAATGGAATGCTGTATTGTATAACCATAAAGTTATATTTTAGGAATATTTAATAATTTATTTAACAATAATATTTAATGTAATAATTTGTTTAACAAGAGTATTTAATGGTTTTATAAAGTGCTTACAAAAGGGCAAAATGGAAAAACAGGTATTAAACACTATGTAATGTGAGTTCAGTTATTAAAGAAGATGTAAAAAAATTTGAAGGAAACAAAACTCATTCAAAAAAGACGTAATGGTATCATACAGGGTTTTGTAATTAGAAAATTGGATAGTGCTTTATGCTGCTCTAGAAGTAGATTTCGATATTTAATACTTACTAGATTTTATTCCTTTAAATTAAAATTGCAATGATTTTGGCTTTTTCAGAATAGATTAAAGGTATAGACTAACAATTTTTAAATTAATATTTGGAAGTTTTGCTATTGTGGTTTTTGTTAAATCATTTGTCCACGTTAAATAGCTATACGGAAATGGATCCCGTTATCATTGCTTCTGAAGGAGTGGAGAAATTCAAAAATGAAAATTTTGAAATTATTATTGTTGATACAAGTGGCCGTCACAAACAAGAAGACTCTTTGTTTGAAGAAATGCTTCAAGTTGCTAATGCTATTGTAAGTAGCTTTCGATGTAACTAAGGACTTAGTTTAATTTAATCATAAAACCTGATTGAGTTTTATGTTATATATAAATTACTTCTTGCCTGTAAGGCAAATTTCAAGTAATTTATTTCTGTTTTGGGCACCTTTATTTGTATAGTGAGGACTTAATCTCATCATTTTTGATCTCTGTTAAATATGAAATTTTCATGAGTATCAAAAAATAATTTACTTTCTCTTTTAATCATCCTCAGTATATATTAGAAAAAAGTAGCAAATGAAAACTTTAAGAATTAATCTTTAATGTCTTTTAAATTTTTTTTCTGTAAATTATTTGAGTTCAATTAGAAACATTTACTTTAGAGGAATTTTGAATGTTTTTCAAAATAAAGCATTTAAGAATATTAATCATTTAATGTCTCTCCTTTAAAATTGTGATGGAAGTAACTTGGGGAGAAGAAGCAGTTTATAGATACCTGTAGAGTATATTAGAAACCCATGTTTTATGATTGGGTTTTGGCAGTAATTCTTTGGTTACTGGTTAGTGCTAATAAGTTAATTTTTCAGTTATGCTGTTATTTTGACTGAGTCGAACAGATCTATGGGAAGTAGTCTCAGTCTATTTTATTCATTTTGGTTTCAGTATATACTCTTCTACTTTGTTTTTTCTGATTTACTTTTGCTCTTCCTTTGCTTAGAATGCCATTTTTCCAAATTTTGCATAACTTTTTTCTATTTGTTCAGGCCTCAGCTCAAATGTTACCTCCAGAGAGGCCTTTCCTGACTACCCTACCTAAAGATGTCTTCCACACTTCAGAACTGATATTCTGTATCCCATTTTAGTTGTACATCTGAAATGTTTATTTGCCTATTTATTATGTGTTTCCTTTGGCCAGAATGTGAGTTCCATGAAGACAAGGATTTTCTTATTTACCTCTGTCCTGAGGACCTAGATGGTACCTAATACATAGTACTCCCTCAACAGATATTTATTGATTGAATAATTATTTATAGTTAATATTGTTCTATAGCTTTTAATGATGAAATTTGCTTAAGATCAGTAAAAATATGTATCTTTTCTATTTAAACTTTCTAGCAACCTGATAACATTGTTTATGTGATGGATGCCTCCATTGGGCAGGCTTGTGAAGCCCAGGCTAAGGCTTTTAAAGATAAAGTAGATGTAGCCTCGGTAATAGTGACAAAACTTGATGGTCATGCAAAAGGAGGTGGTGCACTCAGTGCGTGAGTATCACTGATGTTGTCGTCCTATGTCTTGGGGTTATGTGAGGTACGTGTGTACTTGTAGTTTTCTTATTGATCATTTAAAATATATTCCAATAGTGGGCCTAATATGGTCTATAAAAGAAGTTTAAATAGAAATAGAATTTTGGAGCCTCTCTGATATAGCTCTAACTAATGAAAGGAAACTTGAATTTTGTTCCTTTGTCTAACTTTGAAAATTTGCTGGAAATTTGTTTTCTTTTTTGAGTTTATTTTATATATATATATATATATTTTGTTGTTGCAGGGTTGCTGCCACAAAAAGTCCAATTATTTTCATTGGTACAGGGGAACATATAGATGACTTTGAGCCTTTCAAAACACAGCCTTTTATCAGCAAACTTCTTGGTATGTATAGTGGCAAGATACAGAAAAATCTCCATGAGATCAGTATGGATCTTTCGGACAGATTAGGATTTTAATCCTGCCCTCTCTAACTGGTTTAGGAAAATCATTTCCTTCTGTGATTTATCTTCCTCACCTGCAGTGCAGTAGGGATGATGGTTATCTGCTTTGTGTGGTTAGAATAGTAAAATATGCTATTAGATGGAAAGTTCTTTGGGAAAGTTTTAGAGCACAATGCAGAAATCTGTGGTTGTAGTAATAGCAGTTGTAATGGCAGTAAAACTTTTCTAATGTCTCAAGGTGGTATAGTTAGAGAGCATGGAATTTGGAGGAAAGCCCTGGGCTGGAGTCCCTGCTTTGTCACTTCTTTGCTGCTGCTTAACCTCTTTATCTTTAGTTTTCTCATCTGCAAAGTGTAGTAAGAATACCTAACCTGCCTACCTCATGAGGTTATTATGTATGTGTGTGTTTTTTTTGTGTAGTGTAAAGCAGCATATACTGTGGTTAATATTTCTTTTTTTGGTCTTATAGGTATGGGTGATATTGAAGGACTGATAGATAAAGTCAACGAGTTGAAGTTGGATGACAATGAAGCACTTATAGAGAAGTTGAAACATGGTATGTGAATGGCAAAAAAGCATTTGCTCTCAGATATTTCCCTTGATTTCTTTTTGATAAAGCTATTATTAGTTCAAAATGATAATTTCTATTATTAGAGTCAGTTTTTCAAATGTTCATTATTTTACATGAATTTATATGCAAATCTGAGCAGTTACAGAATCAAGTATTTTTATTTTCTTTCTTGTAATCAAATTACCTTAGGGTTAAAATCAAGTCTTTCATTGAGTTCCTTGAAGTAAAACAGGTTAAAAGCAAGTTAGAACACACTCCTCTAATCTGTTTCTTTTCTTATACATTATATATATTACAAAATATATAAAAAGTTTAAAAGGATGAGATTAAATACACAGACACACATGCAGACATTTTCTTCACTCCCCATGAAAGGCCACTCCTATGGAGAAGTATATATCACTGGATTTGTATCTCTGATATATTTTTTAGCTGTGTAACTTTTTGTAATCTCTTAGTCTCAATTTCAAAAAAAGCAGATAGTACTAACTACTTTATGTGGTTGTGAAGATTACTTTAGCTGATGTGTGGAAAATGTCCAGCACATTATGAGTTCTCAACATATATTATTATTGATCATTCCAGTTTTTCTTAGAATGATCTTTTCCCTTAATTCCTGTAGCTGTTTACTGCTCTTTCTCTTTGCTTTTTCTCACTCATCTTGTCAGGTACTTGTGCTTTTACCTCTCTCTTACATGTTAGTGTTTTTAAGGGATTATTCTAGGTCATCTTCTTTCTCTGGAGCTTCAGCCTCATATATCAGTATGTTTACTACTCTATTCTTAGATGTTCCATAGATACCTCAAATTCATCATATTCTTATTTTCCCATCCCAACCTCCCACCCCATTGTTATCATCGATCAATGTTAACATCATTTGTGTTGTTGCCAGAGTCAGAAACTTGGGTGGTGGTGTTGATTTTTATTTCTTCCTCACCGTGCTCACTCCTTTCCCCATCAATCAACTAGTCTTAGTGATTCTACCTCCTAAATATCTCCATTCCACCCCCTTCTCTGCAGCTGCCCTGCAACTATGCTAATTCATCTCTTAGATGAATTATTGTAAGATTTAATAGATCCCAGATTGCTTATTGTAAGTCTTTTAACGGATCTTCCAGCTTCCTGGGCTCTTCCCCTTTGATCTATTTTTTATACCACAGGCACAATGATCTTTCAGAAATACAAATTTTTTTTTTTTTTTTTAAGAGATGACCGGTAAGGGGATCTCAACCCTTGGCTTGGTGTTGTCAGCACCACGCTCAGCCAGTGAGCAAACCGGCCATCCCATATATGGGATCCGAACCCGTGGCCTTGGTGTTATCAACACCGCACTCTACTGAGTGAGCCACAGGCCGGCCCCAGAAATACAAATTTGATGCCATTACTACCCTTCTTAAAATCCTTCAGTGGCGTCCTATTCCCTTTTGAACATTTTTAAATGATTCTGCCGTCTAGCCTACATCTTCTAAGTTTTGGCATTGTTCTTAGCATTCTGTATGCCAGCCATGCTGAACTTCTTTCCGTTTCTCAAATATACTTTACTGTCTCTCACCTCTGGGCTTTTGCCTTTGCTAGTCTTTCTGCCTGTTGGACATATTCTCTCTTCTTCCTACCTTTACCCTCCTCTCCACTGGCCAAGCTGGCTAACACCTACTCCTACTTCATATCTCTCCTTAAATGTTCTTCTTCAGGGACATTTTACATGATCCCTAGACTGTTAGAACCCTCTGATACATGTTTCCATCACATCCCATAGTTAATTATTGTATTATGCATCACAATTATTTGATGTCTGTCTTCCCTGCTTGAAGGTGAAGGTAGGGTCCATAGCTGTGTTCTTCATCTTTTATGTTCATAGGACCTACTGCAGTGTCTGGCACAAGTAGGTTTTAAGTAAATATTTATTGAATGAATGAATTTATCCTTCATTGCCTGATTCTTTTTCCCTGCCTTCCTCTATCTTGATAACCCTAGCACTGCTTCTATTACCACTACCAAGCTGGGTGGTATATTCCTATTCTGTCTACTTACTGACTCCTGGCTCTCTCCCTATGTCTCTGCATTTTTGCTTCTTCTCCTAATAGTCTACTCATTTCTTAGGTCACCAAGGGCCTTCTAATTTCCAAATGTAATGACCTTTCTATTTTTAAACTCTTCACTTGAATTCCATGACAGTGGATTTCCTATATTATCATAGCTTCCATTATCACTTTTGTATAATTGGCTAAATGTGTATTTCAGCCTTAACCTTCCCTTCCACTGTTTAATTCTGCATTCCTAGCTGCCTTCTATAACATTTCTTTTACAATATTGTACTATCATTTCAAATTCAGAATGCCTGAAGCCAAGTACCTTTTCTATTTTTGTCTTTAGGACATAAATAGATTAATACTCTTTCTCCTTTGCCTTCTTCCCTCTCTCTTTGTAATTGAAGTTAATTTACATACAATGAAATGCTTGAATCCTAAGGATATCATTCCATCTTTTTTGACAAATGCACAATAACCCACATCCTATGAAGAAACAGAACACTTCCATTACTCTAGAAAGTTTGCTTGTGCTCCTTCCCAGTAATACTTCATATTGTAGGAATCCTAGAGTATGTTTCCCCCCACCCCCAGTCTGGTTTCTTTAACTCAGCATAATATTTTTGATATTCATTCATGTAGTTGTATGTATTTGTAAGTTTGTTCTTTTTATTGCTGAGTAGTATTTCATCCACAGTCTGTTTTTCTATTCATGGACAACTAAGCTATTTAAGAAATTCCAGATAATCTTCTGAAGTGTTTTTGTTATTTTACATTCTCACCAGCAGTGTATGGGAGTTCTACTTGCTCCATATCCTCTTTAACTTTTGGTGTTATCAAGCTTTCTGATTTTAGTCATCCTACTTGGTGTAGTTTGTGTGCCTTGTTTTCAAGTTTCTTGTGAGATTGTGTATGTCCATCTTCTCTGACAGAATATAAGCTTCTCTAGGATAGGATCTATGTGTCTATTCTCCATAGGATTCATTCTATCATCTTGTACATAGTAACTGCCCAGTGAATATTTATGATTGGATATTTTATAAGTAAGTGTGCTTCATCATGAATCCATGATTAAGGAAAAGATTAGTTTTATTGAATGGAAATGTACATTCTCTAATATATGTGAATCATTTATATTGTATTTCAGGTCAGTTTACGTTGCGAGACATGTATGAACAATTTCAAAATATCATGAAAATGGGCCCCTTCAGCCAGATCTTGGTTAGTTGTCCTTAAACGTTTCCTAGTACCTTTTGTTTTTCATTAAAATTTTTAAGAAAGATACACTTGCTTTAATTATTTTTGATATTTGTGTAAATATTATTTTAATAATTAGTGTCAATATGAAGGCCAATAGTTATATGTGGACATTTAATCTTAAGCTATTGCTGACTTTATGTTTCAATCTATTTTAGGGGATGATTCCTGGTTTTGGAACAGATTTTATGAGCAAAGGAAATGAACAGGAGTCAATGGCCAGGCTAAAGAAATTAATGACAATAATGGACAGTATGAATGATCAGGGTAAGATGGTAGATGACTTGACTTGGGGGACATTGTTCTGAATATAGAAAGTTGAGAATTGCACAGTGTTCCTGTGGACAATATGGGGGAAAATTTAGAGTGAAAGATTATTTTTAGGTAGATTTGTAGTAGCTTAAAAGCTCTTACTCAAACGGTTATGATTGACTTCATCACTGAATGAAACGTCTTTACAGTGCTTCTCCAAATGAGTTGCCAGGAAAGAAACACTAGTTCTCCATGATGTTGATAGAAATATTTTAGAAGGAGAAATCTCTAGTCAAATTTGAGGGAATGCTGGGTTTAAAAGGTTAAATAATTTTATTTATTATAAGTCTCTTCAGAGCTTTAATATGCTAACATACATTGGGAATGTGTACAAACTTCTTTTGCTGTGAAATACTCAAGGTTTCAGTCTTCTCCAGAAGTGTAGTGCTCGATCTCTAATCTTCTGTTATCACTACCTCCTGTTCTTCCAGGTCTTTTACCTGGTCCTGAGTCTGTTAGCATTCCTAGTCCCATGACTCCTTTTTTTTTCTTTCAATTTTTAGCATCCTTTCTCATTTCACCCAGCAGCTATGCCAAATATTTATCATCCTTTCTTAAGCCTTCTACTCTACCACTTGCCCAGCTTGACCTCTGACCTCACAAAGAAAATTTGGTATTGAATTCCCTCAACCTTTGGCTCATTTAGCTATGAGATAGTGAAAAGCACAAACTATTCTTATCCTGTTTATGCTATTTCAAGGACCTCTATCAATAAAATTTTTTCCTGTAGCTTCAGTCTCTCCTTATCTACTAATTTTTTTTCTACATCAGCATGATTATTCTTAAGTTCATATTTTCTTGGCTTGACCTCTCCCTCTAGTTTTTATTCTGTGTTTCTTTTCAGTCAAGTTTCTAAAGAGAAAGGTTATATTCTTCTCAAACCACTGAAATCTGACTTCTGTTCCCACCGTTACTCTGAAATAGGTCACACAGAGATCTCCAATAACTTCCTTCTGGTCTTCTTCAGTGGATACTTTTCAGTCTGTTTTTTTTTTTTTTTTTTTTTTTTTTTTTTTTTTTTTTTTTTTTTTTTTTTTGACCTTTACAACATTAAATGTTGTTAATCACTTTTTTTTCTTGGTTTCCATTGTAGCATACCCCTACTCTTAACTTACCTTTCTTGTTATTCCTGCTCAGTCTTCTTCACTGGTCTCTTTCTCAACCCATCTCTTAAATGAATATATGCTCCAGGGTTCTGTCCTTGGCCAGTGTTACTTATCATTTTGCTCATTTTCTTTGAATAATTCATCCATATCTGTACTTATCAACTAGCAGACTTACTACTTACTTTTTGTAGTTTCTACCTCTTTTCTGAGCTCCAGGCTTTCATAGTGACCCAAATAAGATTGTGTCTTTCTCATCTCCGTCTTTAACACTACAAAAATTTGTTACATATAGACTTAATTATTGCAGCCATATGTAGCATATTTACTCTGTGCCAGGCACTGTCCTGAGCATTTTACATATATTAACCTATTTAATCATCACAACAACTCTTAAGGGATAGTTTATTCTTATGTGCCTTTTTCAGATTAGGAAACTGAGGTATAGGGAAGTTGAGTAATTTGCCCAAGGACTGGGCTTCAAACCTAGGCATTTTGCTTGAGAGTCCACACTCTCCATCACTGCCTCTCTCGGTGCTCACTAAATCCTGGACAGACCTCTTTACTTAAATGTTTGTGAGTTATCTGAGACACATGGGATGTAAAAGTAGTGCTTCTTTCTTGATGAGTGACACTTCTATCTACCCAGTCACCCAAGCTAGAAACTGGGGTGAATTAAATTTATAACCTTGCTATTTCCTGTCTAGTGGTTGTATTGATTATTGATTTAGAAGTATTGAAGTGACTGGCTTTTCTCCTAGTTGTGTCCATTTGCTTTATGTATTTTGAAGTTCTTTTGTTGGGTAAATACTCATTTAGGGTTGTCTTGGTGACTGTTATATCATTATGTAATGAGCCTCTTGGTTTCTTGTCTTCTTTGTCTGACATTAATACAGCTACTTCAGCTTTCTTTTAATTAGTGTTTGCATTTAGCAAGTTCTACTTCCTAAATATTTCTCATATCGTCTTTCTTCTCTTTGTCTCTGCCTCCCCTGCATTAGTTTATACTCTTAACATTTTTTTTTTTTTTCCCCTTTTGCTGGCTGGTACAGGGATTGAATGCTGGACCTTGGTGTTACCAGCACCACATTTTAACCAACTGAACTAACTGTCCTTACTCTCATTATTTCTTATTTGGATTACTGTAGTCTCCTCCTAATTTTTCCCTTCTTTTTCACTTCTCTTTCAGTCTGTCTTCCTCAATGCAACCAGAATGGTCTTTCCAAGCTTAACAATCCTAGGGTCAAAATCTTTCAGTGTCTCTTTATTGTCTTCATGATGAATATCAAACTTCTAGGCCTGGCATAAAGTTCAGTTATAATCTTGTTCTTACCTATCTTTGCAACCTCTTCAATCTCTCAGCTCCATTCATGCTCAGTTCCTTCTATACAAAACTAGTTTCATTTATTCTAGGAATCCACATTCTGCTTCATAGAATGTCCCTTGCTCCTTTCTGTTCTTTGTTTAACTCACACTTGTCCTTCAGGACTGCTCAGTTAAAGGGAAACTACCAGAATGGAGCCTTTCCTGACTTACTTTCTTCTTTAAATTTGGTCTCCTTCCACTACTTGCTTAACTTGTTATATTGCTTGCCATGCTGTGTTGTTATCAGTTTATCTTCTTTCTCTCATTTGATTTGAATTCTTGGAAGAAATATGATTTCCTAAATATTCTATAGTGAAGATGTAGCTAAAAAGCTGCATTTATGAAATGGATTTAGAGATTTTAATGGTAAAGTTATTATGAGATAATTACATATTGGTTTGTATTTCATTGGTAATCAGACTTCACCTGGATTTCAGTTTACTTCTGGACAATATACTTAGAGGGTATAGACAAATTAGAAGATGTATTTAGAAAATAAGGATGACAAATTATGTAAACCATGTTATAAGAGGAACAATCAAAAGACTTGGATATTTGTCACATAGAGAAAATTTGCAGGAGACATGGTGGCTCTCAAGTATTTGAAAGCCTTATTTTTTGTCTATTAAGGAGACATATACACTATAGGAATAGAAGTGCCAGGCAAACATTTCAGTTTAATATGTGAAAAGTTTTTCCATAATTATAGTTACAACAGAATGGCATAGAGTTTCTTATTTTAGGTAGTGGGTCACTTCTCCTGGGGCTATTAAGACTGAGGCTAGATAACCACTTATTAGGGGGATGTTGTAGAGAGAATGCAGACATAATAGACATTTTAAGTAAAGTTTATCCCATCCCTAAGATTGCATGCAACTGAAGCCAGAAGAAATGCAGCTTATATTCTAAGAGTGATTAAAAGCCTGGAGGGAATTAACTCATTCTTTATGTGCTACAGAAAGGGTCAAAATAATAGTGATAGTAATTACTTGATTATAGGAAATATAATAATTGTTCTATTGATTATAAATAAAATCTACCTTCTTCTGCTTGCTTATATAACCTAAATTTATGAATTCAAGGTTAATAGTTATTTAGGGTAGAGCTAAGGTAAATACTTTTGTTCTTTTTTGAAATATACCATATACCTTTGGTGTCTAGAGGGCATGGAAAGGGTAGACATGAGATACGGCAATGGTGGACATGGGGTTTCAAAGATTCTCAGAATGTTCTATTTTACTTAAACTGTAGGCAAAATACATGTGTGTTTGTTGTGTTTTTATAGCTTATGAATATTATAAATGTTCTTTTGAATATATTCCATGTTTAATTTTTAAAAATCCGAGGCAAACATGGTGATAGACTTACGGCTGAATTTGTTAAATCTGGGTAGGGATTTGACCATTTATTATATATCTGGTTTTTTTATGTAAGATATTTCATAATATAAAAAGAAAAGTGAAATAATTATTTCTTTAAAAAACATATCTTCTAAGTTCTATTAAGTTATATTTTTCCCATTTGCACATAAATGCTTTGATGATGAATGAAAATTGTATGTAAGAGAGAGTAATTGACCTTTGCCTACAGAACTGGACAGTACAGATGGTGCTAAGGTTTTTAGTAAACAACCAGGAAGAATCCAAAGAGTAGCAAGAGGCTCAGGCGTGTCAACGAGAGATGTTCAAGAACTTTTGACACAGTATACCAAGTTTGCACAGATGGTAAAAAAGATGGGAGGTATCAAAGGACTTTTCAAAGGTAAGAAAAATAAGCTCATCATTAGTTAACATACTGAAAAGTAGGAACGAAATTGAGAAACTAAATATTAAACTCAGGGAGTACTGCCAGTATTGGAAAATTCACTGCTGAATTTCATGTTATACAAGAATACTTCGAGAATTTACAATATGATCTGTGATTTATTTGTTTTCAGAATCAAGGTAATAAACATTACTTTTTAAAAAAACAAAACAATGATTTCATTTTAATGAACATGTAATATATGTTATAGAAAAGTTAGAGAATATAAGAAATTATAAGAAAAAAAATTCAAAACACACATTACCTTTACTCCTCAGAGAATCCCATGGGTCCCATTGCAAATAACAGTTGATGTTAACTATTGCTGTCTTCTGCCATATCATGACTGTTTTTCCATATTGTCAAGTATTCTTCAAAATATAATTTTTAACCACTGGCTACTACTATTCAAGTTATGCATGCATCTTTGTTTATTGTAATACCTCTTTGTTGGACCCTTTGGCTGATTCATCTGCGTCTGTATCAGTATCAGTTTCTATGCAGAATCCTCAAGGATTTTGTTTGTTTTGATCAGAAAAGTAGTAGATGCTGAATAAATTTTGTAATAATACCATTTCTAATTTAATGGTCAGATTTTTTAAAATATGTGTAGATTACTACGTAAGTTTAACATTTCTTTGTACTGGTTTGAAACCATTACTGGTTTGAATTTCCTTTTGACCTCTTCATGTTCCTTGTTCAGTCATTCCATTTTTCTCCCTTATTGCTTTGTAATAACTCTTTAAAATCCTTGGTTTGTATCTGTAAATATTTTTTCCCAGTTTTTCATTTGCCTTTTATTTTAACTTTTCTATTTTTAATGTAGCCAAGCCTATCTGTCTTTTCCTTTGATTTCTATTATGCTCTTGAAAGCCTTCTCCATGTTGATACCTCAGAAGTCACCTATGTTTTCTTCTACTTGATTTTGGTTTTATTTCTTATTTGACTTTTTATCCCAACTGGAATTTATTTCACTGTATATTATGTAAGCTAAAAAGATAGGTTTATTTTCCCAAAGACTTGATCAACTATTCCATTTCTCCTCAATTTTTTTCTATCATGTAAAGAGCTGTTAAAATGAATTTTTTATTATTTTCAAAAATGTTGATTAGACAAGCTCCAAAGATGAACAATTCCACTGAATAGCTTCTAAAAAGAATGAATATGTATAGATATTTTTAATTATCTTTTGTCTTTGACACTTCTATTTTCCTTGCTTGCTATATCCCATCTTCTCTTTTGTGATAAGGGGGAAAGGTTAGACAAACATGTTTAAAATTGGTTATAATTCCCAACATTCCACGCTACTTCAGATAGTGACTAATAAACACATTATGTCAGTTTAACATCTTTCCCAAGTGATGTTGACTATTCTTGATAGAACTACTGCAGATTTATCAGTCAGATGTTATGTAAGCATTGATTCCTCAGTAAAGGCACAACCAAGATAAAGGCAGTGGATGCACACGCTACATCCTTGATCACACCAAACCCTTAATATTTTTAAGATATTTTAAGTCCTGAAAAACAAACGTTTAGGACAAATCAGCAATGAACATGGAATTCATATCTTCCACAGATTTATTCATCATGAATTTTTTTTCAGAGATTTTATCATATACTGTCATAAAAACATATCTTCTTTTTCATTCATAGTTCTTAATTTGCATATTTTATACAGATTAGCCGGCTATGAGCAGAGAATCAGGGGCAGCTTTGATTTTTCATTTTTATTAAATGCTACTGAGGAGTACCATAGTTAATACTCCTTTGAAATAAATAATTTTGCTGAAGCAATTGTACTATTTCATTATTGTTGCATTGATGATCTCTTTTGTTTCCAGTCCCTTAAGTGTACTGCTATTCTGGCCTAGAATGCATCACTTTCATTGGCTGGCCTTTTTACTGTGGAGTTTTGACTGTGTGTGTGGAAATTTTTTGACAAATGAAGTTGTGTTATTGGTGTTACTAGTCTCAAAAGCTTTCCATTACTGTTCTTATTATTTTTTAAGATCTCCTTTCAAGAAAGAAGCTTTTCATTATTTTTTTAAAAGTTTCTTAGATATATACAAATCTTCAAGTTCTCTCAGACTCATTCTTTCATATTCATTTACCATCCATCCAATCTCTTTCCCAATTAACCATATCTATAAACTCAGCTTTTTGTTCAGCATTCCCCTATCACTGTTAGGCAATTGTTATAGTTTACTATTAATAACCACTGGATACAGTTTTGCTTATAGTGGTTCATTCACAGGCTTAACTAAAAGTATGAGCAAAAATCGTAGTTGTCTCGGTAGAGTATGGTGGTGATAACATACATCAGGGTCAAGGGTTTGGATCCCTATACTGGCCAGCCAACAAAAAACAAATCGTAGCCTTAAAGTTCTTTGTATGTCCCTTTATGTAGAATTTCATTTGTTCTTTCTAAAAATAAAAAGTAGGTGATTGAAAGATTAGAAGGGTATATGTAGAAATAGAAATAATTGTGTTACAATGATAAGATTATAGGTGATTTTTTTCTTTGTGTTTACTCACTTCATCAAACTTTCTATAATACCCTGATAATATTACATCTTATACTGACTCAAAATCTTTTTTTTGTTTTTTCAGGTGGTGACATGTCTAAGAATGTGAGCCAGTCGCAGATGGCAAAATTGAATCAACAAATGGCCAAAATGATGGATCCAAGAGTTCTTCATCACATGGGTAAATACAAAGTTGTTGCCAGTTGGTAATACACAGTTTAATTTATAGGGTTGAGTTTTAATGGTATGCCTTCTGTTATGATATTATGAAATCTGTTCAAAAGATGTGTGATTTGAGGGAAACGGCCATATGAATTCTAAGTTGAATGTTGTAATACTGCTATAAAAGATGAGGTTTTATGATTTTTGAGCAAGCTATTTAATCATCTTTTGTTAATGCTTTTCTAGTGACCTTTTGCCCTATTTTGGAACCTGGATATTTTTAATGATGGAAGTTTGAAATTATGTAAGGATTTTGAACCCCAGTTTCACTTTTATTGTGTAATCTTTGGAAAGTCTCTTAAATTTTCTGAACCCCACTTTTCCCTTCTGTAAAATCATCGATCATATCTCATCACGAAATCGTGGAAATTAAATGGGCTAATATATATGAAAGCATTTAAGTACAGTCTGGGCATATAGTAGATACTTAATAAATGGTGAATTTTTTTCTTCCTGTAAGTTCTATGAAATAATTCACTATTAATTACTTTTTATGTAACTTAATACTATCTACAGCAAGTCTCTTTTGGACATGGCAAAAAAAAAATATTTGTTTAGATTTATTGACTGTGCAACAGGTACTGTTCTAAGATCTTTTCATGTATTATCTATTTATTCCTCACAGTAACTTGATCAAGTAGGTTATTTGGGTAGGTTATTCATTCTCTTTTATAGATGAGGATACTGGTGATAATACAAATATTTAGTTGGTGTTCTGTTTAAGGCTGATGACTAAATTGCAGTCAGAACCTAGTGTTTTTTAGAAGTTAATGTACTTGTTAGGCAAAAGTAATAAATGTTTCAAGTTCTGCTTAATAATTATCTGTTTTTACTCTACTTTCACTCTAGGTGGCATGGCAGGACTTCAGTCAATGATGAGGCAGTTTCAACAGGGTGCTGCTGGCAATATGAAAGGCATGATGGGATTCAATAATATGTAAAGAAGATGCCTTAATATAAACTGACTCAGTTGATTACGTTATTTGCTGAGACCTCAGAGTTTCCCTCCTTTTTGTGAATGGGGAAAAAAAAGTATTTTTCTTGCCTGTCTTGCTCTTTCTTTTTCTTCTTGTCTTTTTTCCTTTTTCCTCCTCTTTTTCTTTTTCCTTCTTTTTTTCTTCCCTCTCTCCCTTTGATATAGGAGAGGAATATATGGTTTTTGTGGAAATCATTATATTTTTGCTTTAGATTTTCTTCTGTTAGTTTTCACCATCATAATAACACTTCTTAAATTAAACAAATCATGATGTAAAATTTTAGTATCTAAAGGTTTTTAATTGTCTTAAAGGCCAAGCGTTACATTTGTAAACAGTCCTGGTCAGTAGTTACATGATGTCTCAATAAATATTCTGTAAAATAAACTTTAAAGTGGTTATAAGTTAAGGGGTTGTTAACTTTGTTTATGGTTTAAAATGATCAGTATAGGGCTGGCTGGTTAGCTCACTTCGTTAGACCATGGTGCTGGTAATACCAAGGTCAAGGGTTCAGATCCCTGTACCAGCCAGCTGCCAAAAACAAAACAAAACAAAACAAAACAAATCAGGATATCAAATAAAAAAGTAAACAGAAAAGACAATAGATACATGTCATTTAAAACTTCGCCTAGAAGGGCCAGCTCGTAGCTCACTTGGGAGAGTGTGGCGCAGATAACACCAAGGCCATGGGTTCAGATCCCTATATAGGGATGGCCGGTTAGCTCACTTGGGAGAGCGTGGTGCTGCCAACACCAAGTCAAAGGGTTAAGATCCCCTTACCGGTCATCTTTTTTAAAAAAATGAAAATAAAAAATAAAACTTCACCTAGAAATGAACCTTTAATGAGAAATATGGCAGAGTAAGTTAACCATGAGTATTAGGAATTTTTGTTTAATTTAGAATAATTGAGATAATTTTGCCATAGAAAATCTTAGTTCTACCATTTAACAGTTTGGTTACAGTTCACAATATAAAATATTTTGTATATAACTTGTACTTTTAACCTATTTTTGAAGCCTTAATGGCAATCTTTGATTTTTTTTAAAGCCATTGTCATATTTCTTATAAATCAAGGCCGGCCCATGGCTCACTCGGTAGAGTGCGGTGCTGATAACGCCAAGGCCACGGGTTCGGATCCTATATAGGGATGGCCGGTTAGCTCACTGGCTGAGCGTGGTGCTGACAACACCAAGCCAAGGGTTGAGATCCCCTTACCGATCATCTTTAAAAAAAAAAAAAAAAAGACAAATCAAAAATCTATGGAAAGACACTGATTACTTTGATAATAATACCTAATGTACAGACCTCCTAATGGAAAAATAGTTGCAAATGTTAGGCTGTCACTATTGTATATTAAAAATAATGCGATCATGACAAGATTGATTTGGTTATTGGTTACCTTGATTGCTACACATTTTATTTAGAACAATGACTTTTAAATAAATTATGGAGTTAATTGAAAACACTAGTAACGAACTATAGAAATGATCCCTGAAAGTATAGTCTTAATTGAAAACACTAGAATAATTATTATGTGTATTCTTTATTGACATCATAAAGATAATAGATATGGTGTAACAGTGTAGTTTGAACTAGGATGAACTGATCTTCAGCAAAAGACTGATTTGTAGTATGAGGAGAGACTGAAAGAAATAGCTAGTTTTTATGGTATTTTTTTATGACTTAATTTTGAAAAGGTCTTATAAGCCAAAGTATCTTTAAAAAGTAATTGCATAGGAATGCAACTGATTTTCTTGTTTACTTGGGCAAAGATTTTTATATCCCACTAAATTTTTTTCACCTGCTAACAACTAGAATATTCCTATAGAACATTGCGCACCATGTAAAAAAGATGTATCTTACGTTCTGCCAAAATGTCATGGCAAGGTCCAGCTACAGAAATTTGACAATAAAGAAAATATTCTTTTCCACAGTAGTTTCTAATTAAACTGATTCTTACCACCTTTTCTGAGTACACATTTTTAAGATTTCTATTCTCAGGGTATCAATTTTACATTTTGACCAAAAAAGGGAAATGTGACCTTCATGGCTTCAGGTATGGTTTTTAATAGTTTTGTGTCTGATGGAAACTCCGTTTTTCAGAAGCAAAAATAACAGTGGCAAAGGACAATTAAAGGTCCAGGATAACTAATTCAGTTTCCATTTCTCTTTTTTCTATTAAAATGAGGGAATTGGAGATACTGTCTTAAAATCCTAATTCCATTAAGTGCTCAACCTGGCATCTTTAGTTACAAAAAGTTATCCTTCAGTTCTCACAATTTTTAATCAAGGTGCTGATGTTTATTTTTTTAATTTATTTAAATTTTTTTTTTTTTTACAGCCATCCAGTACAGGGATTGAACTCTGGACCTTGGTGTTATTAGCACCATGCTCTAATCAACTGAGTTTACCAGCCAGCCCTTGGTGCTGATGTTTGACAGCATAAGTATTATATACCAAAATCAAACCCTTTAGTAATCTGAACAAATTTCCTTTATTTTTCACTATGTTAAAGTTGATTCTTTAGCTTTTTGATATCTGATATATTCCCAACTTAGACCACTAGCCAGATCAAATACCATACAATATTAAATTCTTCCTGAATATTATTACAATGTTACTTAAATATATACAAACATAAAACTTGGAATAGCTTCTTTAAGCTTACAGTGCTTATGTAAGTATAAAGAAACCCCAAAAACCCAAATATTGGGCTGGCTAGTTAGCTCAGTTGGTTAGAGCATGGCCTTGTAACACCAAGGTCAGTGGTTCAGTTCTCTGTACTGGCCAGCCACCAAAAAAATCCAGAAATGTCAACAAATTACAAAACCAAGAAAGGGCAAACTAACAATTTAAATGTGACAGATGTTGATGTTCTCCTGAAGATATATTTGCTGGCATATAAGATATAAAGGTGTATATTAATACACAATGCCTTGCAATTTTAAGGAGGAATTTTTGGAAAAAACTAAGTACTTTTCATCATGTAATAATTTACATGTTATGTAAATTATATTTTGTTCACATAAATACAGTATACTACAATATGAGAGGAAGTCCTAAATTCTGATATGCAGTGCAGGTTGAGCATCTCTTATCCAAAATGCTTGGGACCAGAAGTGTTTTGGATTTTGGATTTTTTTCTGATTTTTGGATCATTGCAGAATACATGCTGGTTGAGCATCCCTTATCCAAAAATCCAAAATCCAAAATGCTGTAATGAGTGTTTCCTTTGAGTGTGATGTTGGTGCTTAAAAAGTTTCAGATTTTGGAACACTTCAGATTTTGGATTTTTAGATGAGGTATGTTGAATCTGTAATATTATACTGACATTGAATAGAAATACAGTATTATTGGTGAATAGTGATAAACAAGTGGCAACAAAACCCAGGAAATTTACTAGAACTGAAGTCCCATATCATGCATATTAATGTAAATGTAAAATTACTATTAATATCTTTTTCAATGTATTTATATCAATGTATATAAATCATTATATAAAACAAACTCAATGAATTTTTTTTACAGGTAGTTGTAGTACATATAACAGACAAATATTTCAGTAAAAAAAGGAAAAAAGTATTTAAAATAAAAATGTGAAGTAATTTCAACTTGATGCTTGTGTCTCCAGTAAAAAAAAAAAGGATTTTATTACTTGAATATAGAGAGCAGCCAAAGAATTTAAATGAACTCTAATAAAAACTACTATTCAGTGAGAATCATGGTTAAATAACCAAATGTAAATAATTATTGATCTTCCTTGAAACCTAGAAATAATTATTAATAAAGCCAGGTAAATGATCATATCCAAAACCAGAAAGCTATCATCACAGCTCAAATCTAGATGATTGTTTTTATCACTGGCATTCATTGGATTAGAAACTGAGTCATTGTGATCTTCAAAATTCTGCTCCAAATTCCATTTACTGTATTCTGAACATTAAAGTATTGCATTAAGCTCGAACCTAACGCCTTCTTTGCTTTTGAGCCATCAGTTACAGGAATGATGAATTTACATCTCAAATGCTAGGGGATTAATTTAAATTTTACTTCTAGATCAGTGGTATAGCCTGTGGCTTGTTGTTTTTGTAAACTAGTGAAGTTTTGCTGTGATAGTTTTGTCCACATTTTGCCAATAGGGGTAGGTAACAATTTATTAGTGCTCAGTGTTGAATAGTTGTTTACCTAAGACCCTAGGCTCTACCTCTCTTGTATTGACCTCTCATCTGTAATATGGGCTCATTGAATACAAGGTAGTTTTTGGATACTTTTTTTTTTTTTGTCTTTTGTCTTTTTGTTCCGTGTCCGGCAACGGATCGCAACCCTCAGTGTTGCCCCCGTACCGGACCAGGGACCGGCAACGGGATTGCAAACCTCGGTGTTGCTCCCACGCCTCGCTCAGCCAGTGAGCGGGAGCCGGTCTGTATGTGGGATCCGAACCCTCGGGCGGCAGCGCCGCCGCGCCTCCTAAGCGGCGCACTATCCAGTGCGCCACTGGGCCGGCCCGTTTTTGGATACTTTTAAAGTGAAAATAAACTTTGTAAGCTGGTAATTATATTACATATCCTTTTAATAAAGTAGTGCTGACTGCCACAAAATTTTTGAGTTTGGCATGCGTAAACGACATTTTGCAATTCTCTCATTACTTTTCTTTCTCTTCACTTGAAATCATCATTTGAAGAGCACATTATATCTTTTAGCTTCACGTGGCTTAAAGGGTTGTCTCAGCCTAAAACAGTGTATTTCTCAGTACAAGTTGAATCATAAATAGAAAAATACCAAGAAATTGCATGGTAGTACCTGTTTGTGAGAGGGATAATTCAGATGATCCTTACAGTAAGAAACTTCCCTACCTGGGGACTGAGACTCTGACACTCCTGCGTAAAGGCTTTTCCTACTTGGAAAGCAGAAGGGAGTAGCAGCCAGTGACTGGTCTATTTTTCTTAAGCAAGATATGCTAAAGTTTTGTGAACCTCTTTCTAGAGAGAGTTCTATATCTGCATCAAGTGGGGAGAACATTATAATGTATGCATATCTTCATACTTTAGTAATCATGTTTGCTTGCATTTTATGCTTTCATAAATAGAAAGGGAAATTTGCTCCTTAGTGACCCCAAAGAGGTAGGTATTGTTACTGGTATCATCATGGGCCCTTACTTTCTGACCTTTTTTAAGTTCATAATCTCAATTCTGGCAGAAGTGGAAGAAATAGCTGCATGTTTCTTGACATTCTGTTTGACAGGAAATAGGAGTCTGAACCCTTCAGTTCATACGTGTTCTTTGATTTCCTGCAATTTCCTTCTTACTGTGTTGAAAAAGTATGATCTTACCTTGAGAGGTAAGGCATTCCTAATTGTGATCTTAAAGATCAATAATATAATCCTTTATAGGATTAAATCTTTATATTTGTTTTAAAATTCTTATCAGAAGACTCCCAGGGTTCTAGGGTTCTACAGACTTTAGATTAAGATGCATGGTTCTCTAGCACTGAGATTACTGAGTTTAGGCATAGCATGCAAAGAAAGCTAGTATTTTATAACTAATACCATATAGAAAATCTGGTAGTTAAATATCAATAGTATATTTTCACCACACACCCAAAAAACCTGACCAAAAAGTTTCAGTTAACAAATATTTATAGATACCACATAAAGTTCATTTGGTATTTTTATTTGCTTCTTACAATATGAAGGGCCTTCTAAAAGTTTATGGATGAATTTCAAGACAGTGATAAAAAAACAATAAAAAATTCATGCAAAATGTGTATTATGAAAAAACTGCACGGATTTCAAAAACCTTTTGCACAAAAATACTAACTTGTTATGTCTGAAGAGGATCAATCTAGTTTGAGACACTGAGAAGGATAAGACATCAGTTTGAAAAGAGACCTTATCAGAGCAACATGAATTCTGCTAAAATTGAAGCAAGAATAAACATCAAATTTACGGTGAAGCTTGGGTGGAAGAATGGTGAAATCGCTGATGCTTTATGAAAAGTTTATGAAGGCAATGCCCCAAAGAAATGAGCAGTTTACAAATGGATAATAATAAGCTTTAAGAAGGGAAGAGACGACGAAGCCCACACCAGCAGACAATTGTGTATTTTTGAAGTCTATTATAGGAGTTAGACTTTAAGGGCCTATAATAGGAGACTTTAAAAAGTTCATGAAAAATAGAATTAACAGGTATAAATGAGAAAATACAAACTTTATTTCTCAACATAAGCTCTATCAACTTCAAGACACTTTTGTAAGTAATGATCACCAGCCATTTAGTCCATCCCTAAAGAGGTAAAAATTATCTTGTTCATGCCCTAATTGAAGAGGACTCATGATTAACAGCAGAAACAATAGCCAACACCAGAGACATCTCAATTGGTTGAGTTTACATAATTCTGACTGAAAAATTACAGTTGTACAAACTTTCTGCTTCATGGGTGCCAAAACTGTTGCAACCAGATCAACTTGTAGACAAGAGAGGAGCTTTCAGTGGAAATTTTAAACAAGTGGGATCAAGATCCTGAAGCATTTCTTCAAAGAATTGTAACAGGAGATGAAATATGGCTGTACCAGTAGAATCTCAAAAACAAAGCACAATTAAAGCCATGGCTACCGGTGGAAGTGGTCCAGTCAAAGCAAAAACGCAAATGTCATGGCAACAATTTTTGGGGATGCTCAAGGCATTTTGCTTGTTGACTTTCTCAAAGGCCAAAGAACGATAATATCTGCTTATTGTGAGAATGTTTTGAGAAAGTTAGCCTAAAAACTTTAGTAGAAAAATGCCCAGAAAAGTTTCACCAGAGAGTCCTTTACCACAACAATGCTCCTGTTCATTCCTCTTATCAAACAAGGGCAATTTTCCAATAATTTCGATGGGAAATCATTAGGCACCCACTTTGTGGTTTCAATTCTGCTCCTTCTGACTTCTTTTTGTTTCCTAATCTTCAAAAATCTTTAAAGGGCACCCATTTTTGTTCAGTTTAATAATGTAAAAAAGAATGCATTGACATGGTTAAATTCCCAGGACCCTTAGTTCTTTAGGGGAGGATTAAATGGCTGGATATCATTACTTACAAAAGTGTCTTGAAGTTGACAGAGCTTATGCTGAGAAAAAAAGTTTATATTTTTTCATTTTTATCTTTTAATTCTATTTTTCATGAACTTTTTGAAGTCCACTCTTATAGGCCCTTAAAGGTTACTAATGGCTCTCTGCTATAATAGACTTCAAAAATACACACACCTTACACATTTCCATCCAAATCTTTTCAAGTATCACACTCACCTTTAGTCTAGAAATTTCCTGCCTTCCTAACATTTAATAGCCTATTTTTGACATTTTCATTCTCAAGAGGGCAGAATGGCTAAGATTGTGGGCTTTAAAATCAGACTGCCTGGGTTTGAATTCTGGCTCTGCTGCTTACCAGCTGTGACCTTGAGCAAGTTCCTTAACCTCTCTGAGCCTTTGTTTCCTCATCTGCAAAATGTTGGTAATTATAATAGTACCTCAGAGTTGTTGTGAGGAAGAAGAGTTAATGCAAGGAAAGCTCTTAGTGCAATATATGGCATATTGGGGTCCATAAGTGAAGCCACTACCATTATTTAGTAATTTATTTTTCTTTATGCTTCAAATCAACCTAAGATGCATTTTAATTTTCATCACGTTATTTTTCCTGTGTATCATTTTTGACGAAAATATATCCTCCTACTTGAACAATGGAATAACCTGAAAAATACTCTCTACTAAAATATATATATATATATGTAGCTACATTAAAATCATAAGAAAGTATTATTTGATGGATATTCCTGCTTATCACATTTTTAAATTCAGCTTTATTTTTCCAGCCTTACACAGAAATGGGTAGATTCAAATTTACCTTTTTAGCTCTACATGCATCATTAGTGGTAAATTTAGATGACAATTAGATTTTCAATTAGATAAATTATAATAATACATAAACTTATTTCTTGTCACAATGCTACAATACTACTTATATTACAAAGTGAAAGGAAAAATTTGGCATGTTGCTTTGTTGCCTACTTTTAGTTGAACTATGACAGTTTGGAAATAATGATAAAACCGTAAATGGCCCACATAAAACCATTAGAATTTCTATTCTTTTATATTGCTTTGAGTTGTTAATTTGTAATAAAATGCTCTTCAATTGCATATTTGTGTTAAAAATAACTGTTTTTAGGAAATACTTCTAATTCATATTGAAATATAACTTGCATTCTTAATTTTTAGTAAACTAATTTACTTGTAAGCCATGAAAGTACATTCTGCTTCAGCACTGAAAATTGTAATTTGATGTTTAATTGCCAATTTGAAAAATAAAGTCATGCATTTATAAACATTCCACAACATTTTAATAATAAAGATTGTTATTTGCCCTGCTTACCAGTAAGAGATTTTGAATACATATAATGTAGAACTGTGTTGTTTATGAAGGCCAATTCATGCAGTCTTTAACAATTGACTCTTTATTTTTGTTTTCAATTTATTGCAGTTTGGTTTTGCTCTCAACCCCTTGCTAATGCCACCATGCAGGATCAGATCATGTTACTAACTTGTTTACTTCATCAGCAAGTTTACTTGATTACCAGAACATAGCGCATTGTGAATTTCCAAAGTTTTTAAAGTTTAGATGGTTTTCAAGTAATTGTTCTTTGTTTTTAAGGTTTTTGCTTTGTTTTTAGGTTATCATATTTAGAAGCAGGACAGAAAGTGTAGGCAGAAGGTAAGAAAAAAGAACCTTTGCACAGAAAAGAAAGGAATATTTAAAGCTGTAGGGGTGTTGGGCCTGCCGGTGCCATGCTGAATAACATATACTAGGTCATATAACTCTGGGGAGCGTTTCTGAATTGGGACTAGCATGAAAATAAAATTTAAAATATCAAATGAAGCCTCCCCTGGCCAAACTAATGTACGTTTTCTTTTTGACCTCTGCATATTCGTGAAAACTTTCATGCTAAAGCAATAATAAAAAAATCACTAGCCTGGCAATGGTCCAACTAGTTTGATGTTAAAGTCATTCAGTAATCATAGCAATCATGATTTTTTTCAACTTCATTGAACATTGCGAAAAATGACAACTGGGATGCCCCCTTCTTCACCCCCTACCCCCGCCAAAACAGATAAAATATTCCTCATATTTGTCAAGATGGAAGCTTGCAACTGTCCTTTGCTCTCCTTCAGGTTTTCTCATTTACCTTTTCCACAGTTATACTTAAGTATTTCAGGTGTAAGCAAAATTCATCCTTGGGGTTCATATTTCAAGGGCATTTTGGCTGGACTGTCATCCATGTTAGGAATGGAATATGTAGGGCCGAGCCGCTGTGGCGCACTCCGGAGGGTGCAGCGCTGGGAGCGCAGCAGCGCTCCGGCCGCGGGTTCGGATCCTATATAGGGATGACCAGTGTGCTCACAGCGCTCACTGGCTGAGCACGGTGCGGCCTCAAAGAAGAACAAAAAAGAAAAAAAAGGAATGGCATATGTAGCAAGAGCCGTACATTTTACAATACATTTTCAGCAATCACATCCCATGACTAGCCTTTGAAACACATATACAGTAGCTCTTATTACAAGTGCAGAAACCAAGGTCTGGGAGGGAAATTGACCAAAACGCAGCTGGCAAAGGGCCATGCCAAATCCGGACGCCAAGCTTCAGGTACAGGTAGGAGGCATGACGTCACGGTGGTGCCAGGCAGTGACTCCGCGAGCCCCCGGACGTGGGCGTGGCCGGAAGCCGTGCACGGAAGGCCCCTCCCTGCTCTGTCCCAAAGGAGCTGGTAGTTGCGCCTTACAGGCTGCCGTCTGCTGGCGCCCACGGTGCAGAGCCAGGCGGGCGTAGCTCGTGCCGCTCGGCCCCGCCCCTCAGGCCGGCCCCACCCCTTACGGCCGCCGGGTCGCTCTCACTGTGACTTGGTGGGCTACTGGTGAGTCCCGCTTCCCGACTGTAGGGCTCGGCCAGCCACCGGGCGGGGAGGCTGAGGATGGAAGTGGGCTTATCGGCCGTTACCCTCTGTCTCACCAGCAGCCCTGTGTTGGCGACGACGATGGACCGGGAGCCAGTGGGCCGCGAGGAAGGAGGAGAAGTCGCAGCCTCGGGAGTTGCGGCCGCCGCGGCGTTCAGGGAACCGGCGCGGCAGGTAGGTGGGGCCACCGAGGCGAGTGGCGGCGCCCAGGCTGAGGCTGGGAGAGCCGAGCCTCCTCCTTGCCTTGTCCGCGACTGCCCTTTTGGCCTGACCGGCCTTCCTCCGAGCAGGCCGCCCGCCGGCCGTGGGTTTCGGGGTTCCTCGTCACCGCACCCCTGTCTCTGCTCAGAGAAGCCGGCTGGGGAGAAGGAGCAGGCGACTCTGTCCAGTCGGGGCGCCCCTTACTCCCCAGCCCCTTCGATGGCAGCGCCGCAGATTCTTGGGGCGGCCTCGGGTTTCCGGAGGTGATAGTCCAGCTTCTGGTCTGCGAGCTAGAGAAGGGGGGCATGTTCCCCAAAGGCTGTCCTTAGAGTAGCTGGAAGCCAGGTGACGACGGCTTCAGCCGCTTCTCAGTTTCCTCCGGCGCGAGCCACTGCCGTGGCATCTGCCTTTTGGTTAACTAATAGCAACTATATGCTAAGCGTCTACAGGCTTGTTCACTTATCCCTTATTACAACCGCACGAGACGGGTGCTAGCCCCATTTCAACAAGGAGCTTACTAAGGCTCAGAGCTGTGCTGTCCAACAGAAAATATAATGCGAGCCGCATTGTAAATTGTAATGGAAAATTTTCCGGAAGCCACGTTAGAAAAGTAAAAAGAAACTGGTGATGATCTTTTTTTTTTTTCTTTTTAAAGATGACCAGGAAGGGGATCTTAACTCTTGACTTGGTGTTGTCAGCACCACGCTCTCCCAAGTGAGCCACGGGCCAGCCCTGGTGATGATAATTTTAATATTATATTTTATTGAACCCAATTTATCAAAAGTATTTCAATATATAATTAATATGAAATTTATTAATGAGATATTTTACATTCTCTTTTTGAATCTTTTCTAAATTTTCAAAATCCTGTGTGTATTTTACACTTACCAGCACATCTCAGTTGCGACTGGTCGCATTTCAAGTGCGCATTAGCCACCTGTGGCTAGTGGTTACTGTGTTGAACAGCACGGGTTTAGAGAGTTTGGTAAGGTTTGGAGATTTGGTTTGGTTTGGTTTGGATTTCGTAGTCTAAGTTAGTAGTTAAGGGTCTTTGAGTAAAAGTAAAGAAATTGCTTTAACTGAAACCCGCTCAGGAGTTTACAATTTTGGCTGTTAAAAACGTCAAGTTGCTCATGTGTAGAAATCTTCCCACCCTCTGTGAGAAGGAAGCGAGATTTTCAGTTAGTGAAACACTTCCCGCAAACTGTGTGTAGCTCTTCTAGTATAAGATGTGGTTTGCATTAACAAAAACTTTTCCACATACAGTACTAGTCTGTGTATGGAGTTTGATCTTTCTCCTACATAAGGAGGAGGAGGAGGAGGAGGAGAACATTCAAGAAGGAATTCAGGGGATATCACCAATTGATTAGGGAGCCACTTTTCATTTTCAGTTGAGTTGACACCTGTTGTTGATAGGTACTTTTGGACTGAATCTTGATGCTTTTTTTGGACAGTGCTTGATTTGCTTTTCTGTTTGATTTTTCCTTTAGTTACAAGAATTGTTTCATCACTACTTCAGCTTTGAATCTGTGTATTAGCAAAATAAATATACCTATATTGATGTACCAGATAAATGCTGCTTGAAGACAGGCTCTTTGTTTTGGTTTAGTGGTATTATGTGTTTTTTGTATTCCTGGTTAAAAAAAAAAAATATTTAAACAGTAAAGGCTGTAGAGCAAAAGGTGAAAATTCACAGGAATACCCCCCACTGCCCTTTCCTCACATTCTCATTTTCCAAAAGTGACTATTAAGTTTCTGGTGTATTCTCTCTGGGATTTTCTATGCATATGTTATCTCTTCTCTCTTGATAAACACAAATGAGTTCATACTATACAAACTTTTTTTTCTTTTTTGGCAGCTCACTGGTAAAGGATCGAATCTTGGACCTTGTTGTTAAGAGACTGTTTTCTAATTTACCCGTTTTTGCTTTCTTATTCACATTCCTGAAGCAGAAACATTTCTGGGAACCCCAGATCTATATCCAGGGGTTTGATCACAATAAGAGGGAAGAGGCCAGTGAAGTGGAGATCTGGGTGGAGGGAGAGGCTGCCGCCCTATACTCCTTTCCAAGTTTGTCAGAATTGAGAAACCCCAAGTACCATGTAAGTAAGGGAACAAAAGATAGAAGATTGGGTCTGTGTTTTTTTTTTTTTTTTAAGATGAGGGGATCTTAACCCTTGACTTGGTGTTGTCAGCACCACGCTCTCCCAAGTGAGCCACGGACTGGCCCAGAATTAGGCCTCTTACCAGGCAGTCTAGTACCTGTTGTGACATTGTGTCCAGCAACTTCTCTGACTAGACTTTTAACCAGAATCTCAGCCTTAATATTATTAAAGGAGTTAAAATTTCAGTACTACTCATTCATTAAATTATTTAGCACCTCTGTTATGACGCACTTACTATATGCCAGAAACCGTAGGCTAAAGGATATAGTGGTGCCTACCCCTATGTTGCTAACATCCTAGTTGGGGGAGGTGACACAAAATAAATTCCAAGTGTTTGAAAGAAGTTCTGGGGCTGGCTGGTTCGCTCAGTTAGTTAGAGTGTGGTGTTGGAACCCTGAACAGGCCAGCTGCCAAAAAAAAAAAACTTATGGTTGCTGTGCTAGTATATAAAAAGAAAATTGCCATTAAAAACAGGTCCTGAGAAAGAAGATAAGCAAATTTACAGTCTGGTTAACTATAAAATGTTGTAAAATGTTAATTGACATTGCATCTCATAATTTCCTGGTGTTATGAAACAATCTTTTCAGGTCTTTGGAGTTTGTTAAAATGGAATTTGTGTAATTGACAGTGAAAATTTTCTTACTTGCAGTTTACTCTTTGTAAAAATGAAATGTTTAGAAAATTCAGAGAATAATTTTTATTTATAATTGTTGGAAATTTTGTTCCAAATTTTCTGGCTGGTTTTACCTGTTAGTGATCAATACCTCCCTTTGCTGTCCACAGCCTGCACCCTCTTCCCCACCCTAAGTAGAGGATGGAATCATAGGTCTTTCACAGATTTTTTACTTGCCAGTCTGGTTTCTTAAGATCAGTAGTTGACAAACTACAGCCTGTGTGGGCCAGATACAAATAGCCACTTGTTTATGTAAAGTTTTATTGGAACACAGCCACGCCCATTCATTATGTAGTGTCCATACAAGTGGCTGCTTGTCCATAGTTGCTTTCATAGAGTTCAGTTGTGATAGACCCTATGTGGTCTGCAAAGCCTAAAATATTTACTATCTGGCCTTCATAGAAAAAGTTTGCTTGACTCCTCCTTAAAATGGTAAACCTAAAATTTGGATTTTACTATATTAAAAATTAATATTAAACTTTTTAAAGAAAGGCCTCAAATAAAAGTTTCTTCAATAAAAGTTTTTATGTAAAATGTGACTAGAACAAATAAAATGCCATTTTATATTATTGAGTATAGAGAATATTACTCAAAGTTCTTTTTTTTTTTTTTCTTTTTTTTGTCTTTATCGTGACCGGTAAGGGGATCTTAACCCTTGACTTGGTGTTGTCAGCACCACGCTGAACCAGTGAGCTAACCGGCTATCCCTATATAGGATCTGAACCTGGGGCCTTGGTGTTCTCAGCACCACACTCTCCCGAGTGAGCCACGGGCTGGCCCTTCAAAGTTCTGTTTGTGCTTATCTAACTTTGGTATTGGAATGAAAAATATGAATCATATTTCAATCTTCCCCTTTTTAGATTTTTAAAAAAAAACTTGGAAAGAGTATAGCCAAGAGTTGGAGTTTATGGAGATTTTATACTAGTTGTTATGACCCAGCCAGAATGTTTTGATTTATTAAAGTCATCTAAGTAAGGTAAAATAGTTGAGCCAATGAGAGCCATCCCTTTCCATTGCCTGTACTAAGGGATAATTAAGCTAATGAGAGATTGCTAGAGGAAGCAGTGAGAAACTGCTTTTGCTGTGATGGGGGTGGAGTGGTGGGACATGGTGGTGTACTGTGAAAGATCTGAGCTCTATTCACTGACTAGGGCTGTTGAGTTGTTACTAGATCCATCCAATTAGTGTGATGACTGGAGATCTAACCCAGCTCCTCTAGCTTTCCTTTGCATAGGAAGGCAGGGATCCCAAAAGCCATGGTCCAAAAGGAAACACTGATGTCAGGACAACCATAAGCCAAATCTTGTCTCAAGGAGAAACATGAGATTTGGATAGGAATAGCTTTTGATGGCTGGAGATGGACAGTAGAAGAAAGGTGGCCTAGATGAACCACTTGTCAATTTTGTTCATAGACACAATAAATGGGCTGATCTCTTTTTAAGGACTGGGATTTGTTAGAACCCTCAGGACACGCTAGAGAGAATTGTGTGCTTTTTTCCAGGTTATCCCTTAGCCTATATTATCAAGCTTTTCGTGATGTGTAGTTCACCATACAGTGGTTAAAGTTGATTTCATTAATGTCCATGTGTGTCACGGAACAATGCATTTGTTCTTTGGGTTGTATATACCTGGATTCAAATCCAGGCTAATGGCTAAATTTACTTTTGGGAAGTAAAATACAGAGAGAAAAGCCATATCTGTTTTCTAAGAAGGACCTGAGAGGATTAAGAGAAAACAGTGCATAAAATAAAGTTGCTTATACTTGCATGACTAGGCACATCCACTATTTTTATCAGTATAATCCCATCTCTGCAACAGCAGTTCAAAGAAGTTTTCTAGTAATTGAACAACAATCATGAGTTTAAATTATGTTTGTCCATAACTATAAGAAGACATACGAATGACCAACAGGCATGTGAAAAATTTTCACCATCACTAATCATCAGGGCAATGCAAATCAAAACCATGATGAAATATCATCTCACACTGGCTAGAATGGCTAATATCAAAATGACAGATAATAGATGCTGGCAAGAATGCAGAGAAAGGGGAACTTTTATACACTATTGGTGAGAATGTGAATTAGTACAACCATTATGGAAAACAATCAGGAGGTTCCTCAAAAAACTACAAATAGAACCATCATATGATCCAGCAGTCCCACTACTGGGTATATTTCCAAAGGAAAGGAAAGGAGTATTTTGAAGAGATATTTACACTCTCAGGTTTATTGTAGCACTATTCACAATAGCCATGATATGGAATCAACCAAAGTGTCCATCAACAGATGAATGGGTAAAGAAAATGTGTATACACACAATGGGATACTATTCAGACTGAAATCCTATCATTTGTGACAACATGGATGAGCTTGGAGGACATTATATTGAGTGAAGTAAGCCCGGAACAGAGAGAGAAATACCACATGTTCTCACTCATAAGTGGAAGCTTTGAGTAGAGAGTAGAATGGTGGTTACCAGAGGCTGGAAAGGGTAGGGGGGAGGAGGATAGTGAGAGGGTAGTTAACAGATACAGGAGTATAGCTAGTTAGGAAGAATATTATCTGGTGTTCTATAGCACTGTAGGGTGACTATAATTAACAGCAATTTATTGTATACTTTGAATTAGCTAGAAGAGAGGATTTTGAATGTTTCCAACACAAAGAAATGGTAAATGTTGGGCCAGCCCATGGCTCACTCGGGAGAGTGTGGTGCTGATAACAGTAAGGCCCTGGGTTCGGATCCCACATAGGGATGGCTGGTTGGCTCACTGGGTGAGCGTGGTGCTGACAACACCAAGTCAAGGGTTAAGATCCCCTTATCAGTCATCTTTAAAAAAAAAAGAAATGGTAAATGTTGGAGATAATGAAAAAAAAAAAATCAGTGGATGCCAGGATTTCAGGGCATGAGGAACGGAGGGAAAGATGAATAGGTGGAGCACTGAGAATTTATAGGGCAGCAAAACTATTCTGTATGACACTGTAGTGGTTAATACATGACATTATGCATTAGGCAAAACCCATAGAACAGTATAATACTAAGAGGGAACCCTAATAGAAAATTAAGTTAATAACTGTATGTCAGTATTGATTCTTAATTGTAACAAATGTACCACACTAATGTAAAATGTCAATAGTAGGAGAGACTGTATGTGCATGTGCGGAGGGTATGGGAACTATCTGTACTTTCTGCTCAATTTCTCTGTAAAACTAAAACTGCTATAAAAATTTTAAAAAATCATAGTGTGGAAAAAAAAAAAGAATCCTTATAGAGGACAAAATTTTTGAACTCTGGACTGTCCTAGAGAATCTCACCAACATGGATGCTAAGCCAGTCAATCCTGCAGTCCTGTATCATTTTACTTTGGTTCAGTTTCAAAATTATAACACTACAGTCAGCCCTCTGAATCCATGGGTTCCACATCAGTGGATTCAACCAATCACGGTTCAAAAATATTCAGAAAACAAAAGAAAAAATAGCGCAAATTTAAAAATACAGTATAACAACTATTATATAACATTTACATTTTATTAGATATTATAAGTAATCTAGAGGTGATTTAAAGTATACAGGAGAATGTGCATAGGTTATATGCAAATACTATACCATTTTATATAGGGGACTTGAGCATCCTCAGATTTTGGTATCTAGGGGGTCCTGGAACCAATGGATGACTGTAATGTGTGAATATATTGTTATCTCAAAACAACAACCAACAAAATACAAAGAGAATAATAGGTCTCCTTGACTACTCTCTTGCCTGTGCCTTCTCCCTCATCTTAGTTCCTGTTGATGGTGGTGACCACTGTTGCCAGATTTTTCTTCACAATTGTATGTACTGTACCTTTTTGAAATCTAGTAAGCAGATGCAAAAGGCTTTCTTAGAAGTTTGAACTTGAGGCAAGATGACAGTGGAAACAAACTCTTCACCACATGGCTCTATGTATGAGGTGAAATTAATATTTTCCTAGGAGTAAAATTTGGATGTAATTAGAATTCCATAGACTACTATAATTTTAAAATTCATAAAATCTTTTTACTATCAGAAAACTCTGTTGTCACCTATATATTATTGACTAAGATATCTGGGAGTTCAGAGATAGAACACTGATGGTCTCTTTCTAGATTGGTTTATAGATGGATTTTATTTGGCCTGCACAGTGTTTTAAAATTTTTTTCAATTTAGTTGGAGCATGTATTCGCTACAGGGTCCACCTTTCCTATATAGCTTCACTCATTTTTGGTACCTTCTTGGCCCTAAAAGGCATTTGAATTTGGTACTCCTGTTTTGAGAAAAGGATAGGTTCAGAGTTAAGCTGAACTGCTTTTCTTTTGCTCATACATAGCTAAGTTTAAATCCAAAAACTTAGGAGAGTTTCTTGATATAAACTGTTATTTTTATTTTATTTATATATTGAACATACGTGCATATGTGCATCTATATAATTTTCCTTTGATATTATACATTGATCCTATCATAATTACCATTATCCTTTAAAATGATTGCTGTCAGAATATCTTCACATATACATAGTGTTGGGATTGCTGTGACTTAAATTGTTCTTTAAACAAAAAGTTTAATTGATTAAGTTCTATTTTTTAACCTCAGAGAGTGTGTAGATGTTTGCTTTGTTATTCGTTAAATTCTTACATCTATGCTATAGATACTCATGTGTATGATCTGCTTTATTTAAAAAAGAAAAACTGCTTGAGGATTGGTTTATGTTTCTTTATTTCCTAAAATAAAGCAACCCAAAATTTTTTTGTTGTGTAATGAAAGAAAATTAATCTCACTTGAAATGCTCATTTTCTTAATTTATTATTGATATAGATGAGTAATGAAAGAGGCTTTGAAAATGTGGAACTGGGAGTCATAGGAAAAAAGAAGAAAGTGCCAAGGAGAGTCATCCACTTTGTTAGTGGTGAAACAATGGAAGAGTACAGCACAGATGAAGATGAAGTTGAAGGCCTGGAGAAGAAAGATGTTTTGCCTACTGTTGATCCAGTATGTTTGACTGGTAATCCTTTTGTCAGTGGGTTTTGTTTTGATTAATTTGTTTCTCCTTAATTATTGAATGAAAGGGGCCTTATGAGGTTTAAGTCAACTATATTCTGGGTATAAAATTATGCATTATGATTTTGGTAAAAAATAGCATTTTTACATAATATGGATGGAAATATTTACAGAATGTTAGTAGTCTGATACAGTTTGTTTTTCAGTGTTAGTTCTTTGTCAGCGTGGATAAATTTCTTTAGATTTATTTTACTAAATTGAGTACTTTGATTCCAGTCCCTTTGAATTAAGGATTGTACTGTCATGATAGTTTCCACTCAAAACTTAGGAGTTGTTTGTTCTTTTTTATGTTGCCTCTAATTTTGATTAGAAGATAGGAGTATATAGTCCTTAACTTTGTGTGCCTCACCAGCTAAATTTAAGAATTTCTAAATTATACAAGATGTGACTATAAAATTATATGACTACCTGTACATTTAAAGAAAAATAAGTGTTTCCCTTCTAAGTAGTCATTTTGAGAGTTTAGTTGATGACATATTTACTGACTTTCTGACAGGTACTGTTTTAGGCAGTGGTGATACAGCTATGGGCAATAAAAATTTCTGCTCTTAGGGGCCGGCCCGTGGCTCACTCGGTAGAGTGCGGTGCTGATAACACCAAGGCCACGGGTTCGGATCCTATATAGGGATGGCTGGTTTGCTCACTGGCTGAGCGTGGTGCTGACAACACCAGGCCAAGGGTTGAGATCCCCTTAGGCCAAGGGTTGAGATCCCCTTAGGCCAAGGGTTGAGATCCCCTTAGGCCAAGGGTTGAGATCCCCTTAGGCCAAGGGTTGAGATCCCCTTACCGGTCATCCTTTAAAAAAAAAAAAAAAAAATTTTTTTTTTTTTTTTTTAAAGGATGACCGGTAAGGGGATCTCAACCCTTGGCCCTGAGCGTGGTGCTGACAACACCAGGCCAAGGGTTGAGATCCCCTTACCGGTCATCCTTTAAAAAAAAAAAAAAAAAAAAATTTTTTTTTGCTCTTGTTTGATAGTGGGAAGATAGGCAATAAACAAATATATACTATATCAGGCTGAGAAAAGTCATATGAGGAAAATAAAACATAGTAACAGGATAGAGAATTATTAATTTATATTTTACTTTAAAAATGTTATTACTCATTTTTCATCAGATTTTCTACTACAGAAAATATTCAAAGATTGTGCATTGTACTCTGAAGGTAGTTCCAAATGCATGTAGAATATTGCAGAGGTGTTTCGTGCAATGGAATAAATGTGTTCTTTTAAAATTACTTTGAAGAGGTTAGTTCTTATTTGTATGAATTTGTGTGTATATACGTTTTTAAAAGTCATTGTCTCAAAAGTCACCCTGAATTAACAGAACAACTGAGAATAAAGGCATTGTCATAGAAAGAATGCCTCCTTCTTACTTTGCTAAAGATTTCCTTTTTTAAAAAGCTTTATTGAGATATAATTCATATACCAAATATTCACCCATTTAAAGTTTGTAATTCAGTGGTTTTAAGCATATTCACAGATATGCAAAACCATTGCCATAGTCAATTTTATTACATTTGTACCACCTCAAAAAGAAACCATGGAGGCCTGCAATGGAAGCCAGCCTGATGCCCAGGGGGTCCGAGGTGATGAGGGCCATGGGCTCTAGCCCCGCCCCCACTGCCACCACCGTACATCCATGACAGTAATGGAGCCAGCCCAATGCCAGGGGGCTGGGATGGCCCCACCCCCACCCACAACCAGATCCTCGAAGATACTTATTAACCATGTGTATTTCTTTGGGTGCATGACTTATCTGCTCATGTCCTTCAACACATTTCAGCTTAGATTTTTCTAATTCATTTTTAAGAGTTCTTTTTGTGATGAGGATATTAATCATTGTGTGTTTAAATGAAGTTGGAAAAAAAAACCTCAAAAAGCCAGGTACCCTTTAGCTATCATCCCCTAATCTCCAGCCCACCCGTCATTCCCCTAGTGATTTTCCTATTCCTATTATGGACATTTTATATGAATGGGCTCATGTAATATGTGGTCTTTTGTGACTGGCTTCTTTCACTTAGCATGTTTTCAAGGTTCATTCATGTTTTAGCATGTGTTGGTACTTCATTCCTATTTATAGTCAAGTATTCCTTTGTATGGATATATATTTTAATTTATCCATTTGTCAGTTGATGGACACTAAGGTTGTTTTTACCGTTTGGACTAGGAATAATGCTGCTATGAACATTCATGTACAGGTTTTCGTGTGGACGTGTTTTCCTTTCTTTTGGGTACATAGCTAGGAGTGGAATTACTGAGTCATATGGTAATCCTATGATTTAAATGTTTGAGGAACTACCAGACTGTTTTCCAAACCGGTTGTGCCATTTTACATTCCTGCCAGCAGTATGTAAGGGTTTTGACTTCTCCATATCTTCACCAACATTTGTTATTATCTGTCTTTTTGATTCTAGCCATCTTAGTGGATGTGAAGTGGTATCTTATTGTGATTTTGATTTGCATTTCCCTGATGGCCAGTGATGCTGAGCATCTCTTCATGTGCTTATTTGCCATTTATCTTCCTTGGAGAATTGTCCTTTCAGATTTTTTGACCATTTTTAATTGGGTCATTTGTATTTTCATTGTTGAGTTTTAAGAGGTCTTTATATATTCTGGACACAAGTCCCTCATCAGATAGGTAATTTGCAAGTATTTTTTCCAATTCCATAGGTTGTCTTTTCATTTTCCTGATTTTTGAAATACAAATTTTTAATTTCGATGAAGTCCAGATTATTTTTTCTTATGTTGGTTGTGTTTTTAGTGTCATATTTAAGAATCCTTTGCCAAGTCTGAGGTCATGGAGACTTATCCCTGTATTTTTTTTTAAAGTTTTATAGGGCTGGCCTGTTAGCTCACTTGGTTACAGCATGGGTTTGGATCTCCTTACTGGTTAGCTGCCAAAAAAAAAAAATTATAGTATTAACTCTTACATTTAGGTCTTTGATCCATTTTTGAGTTAATTTTTCTGTAGGGTATGAGGTAAATGTCCAGTTTCAATATTTTGCATGTGGTGTTCCAGCTGACCTATCACTGAGTTTTGAAAAGATTATTTGTTTTTCCCCTCTGGTTTGTTTTGGCACCCTTGTCAAAAATCATTTCATCATAGAACATGGTTTTATTTCTGGACCCTTCATTCTACTCCATTGTTCTTTATATAGCTATCCTTGTGCTAGTGTCTTGATCATCACTGCGTTTTAGTAAGTTTGAAAATTGGGAAGTGTAAGTCCTACTTTGTTCTTTTTCAGGATTGTTTTGGCTATTCTGGGTCCATTGCAATTTCATGTGAATTCTAGAATTAGTTTGTTAATTTCTGAGAAGGAGCGAGTTTGAGATTGTGTTGAATCTATAGATCAATTTGGGGAGTATTGCCATCTTAATAATATCAAGTTATTTGATTCATCTATTTTTTCTTTTATTTAGATCTTTGTTTTCTTTCTATGAAGTTTTGTAGTTTTCAGAGTGTAAGTTTTGCACTTCTTTGTTAAATTTATTTCTAAGTGTTTTATTCTTTTTGATGCTATTGTAAATAGAATTATTTTCTTAATTTCATTTTCAGATTGTTCGTTGCTAATATCTAGAAAGACAATTGTCTTTGGTATGTAGATATTGTATCCTGCAATCTTGCTGAACTTGTTTGTTAGTTCTCAGAGTTTTTTAGTGGATTCCTTAGGTTTGTTTATATACAAGATAATGCCATGTGCAAATAAAGATTGTTTTAGTCTTCTTTTCTAATCTGGGTGTCTTTTCTTTCATTTTTTTGCAATTGCCTTGTCTAGAACCAACATTACAGTGTTGAATAGAAGTGGTAAGAGTAGGGCCGGCCTGGTGGCGCACTGGAGAGTGCGCTGCTTGGGAGTGCGGCGGTGCTCCCGCCAAGGGTTCGGATCCCATGTGGAGACCGGTTCCCGCTCACTGGCTGAGCGCGGTGCGGGCGCAACACCGAGGGTTGTGATCCTGTTACCGGTCAGTTAAAAAGACAAAAAGGAAAAAAAAAAAAAAAAGAAGTGGTAAGAGTAGACATCCTTATCTTGTTCCTGATCTTAGAGGGGGAAGTGTTCAGTCTTCTATTATTAAGTATGATATTAGCTGTGAGTATTTTGTAGATGTCACTTATCAGGTTGAGGAAGTTCCCTTCTGTTTCTAGATTGTTGAGTGTTTTATGAGTCATGTGGTGTTGAATTTTTTGGGTGTTTTTTCTGCATCAGTTGAGATGATCATGTGGTTTTGTGTTTTGACATTAATTGATTTTTTAGGTGTTAAACCAACTTTGCATTCCTGGGATAAATCCCACTGATTATGGTGTGTATTTCTTTCTATAAGTTGTTGGATTGAGTTTGCTAGTATTTTGTTGAGGATCCATGTGTGAGAAATATAGGGCTGTAGTTTTCTTATGATGTCTTTGTCTGGTTTTGGAACCAGTGTAATACTCGCCTCATAAAATGAGTTTGTGAAGAATTGGTATTAATTCTTCTTTAAATGTTTGACAGACTTCAGCTAGGAAGGCTTCTGGGCTTTTCTTTGTGGATAGTTTTTGATTACTAATTCAGTGTCTTCACTTGCTATAGGTCTATTAAGATTGTCGGTTTCTGGGCTGAGCCCGTGGCGCACTCGGGAGAGTGCGGCACTGGGAGCGCAGCAGCGCTCCCTCGGTGGGTTCGGATCCTATATAGGGATGACGGGTGCGCTCACAGCGCTCACTGGCTGAGCGCAGTGCGGCCGGTCTCAAAAAAGGACAAAAAAAAAAAAGATTGTCGGTTTCTTCTTTAGTTAGTTTTGTGTTTTTGCAGGTATTCATGCATTTCATCTGTTACCTAATTTATTGGCATACAGTAGTATTCTTTTATAATTCTTTTTGCTTCTGTAATGTTGATTTTCCTTTTCATTTATGATTCTAGTGTGTTTGGGTCTTCCTTTTATTCTTTGTCAGTGTAGCTAAGGGTTTGTCAATTTTGTTGATCTTTTCTGAGAACCAGCTTTTGGTTTCATTGATTTTTCTGTTACTTTTCTATTCTCTTTTTTCATTAATTTCTGCTTTTGTCTATATTCCTTCCTTTTGCTTGCTCTAGGTCTGGTTTGTGCTTCTTTGGGTGAAAATTTAGGTTATGTTTTTTTCTTTTTTAATTAGGCACTTATAGACATAAATTTCCCTGTTTTTGAAAAAATAAATTTCCGTCTAAGTACTGCTTTAGTTGAATCCCAAAAGTTTTTGTATGTTATGCCTTCATTTTGATTTGTTTCAAAGTCTTTTCGTTTTTCCCTTTGGATTTTTTCTTTGAACCATTGGTTATTTAGGAGTGTGTTGTTTATTTCCCATATATTTGTAAGTGTCCCAAATTTTTTTCTGTTACTGATTTCTAATTTTACTCTACTGTGATAAGAGAACATACTTTCTATTATTTCTATCTTTTTAAATTTATTGAGGTTTGTTTTATGGCTTAGCAGATGGCTTGTCCTTGAGAATGTTGCATATGTACTTGAGAAGAATCTATATTCTCTTTTTGTTGGATGTAATGTTCTATAGATGTCTATTAGGCCTACTTGTTTTTATAGTGTTGTTCAAGTCTTTTGTTTCCATGTTGTTTTTCAGCCCAGTTTTCCTATTCATTATTGAAAGTGGGGTATGAAGTCTCCAAATATTATTATTGAATTGTTGAATTCTCTATTTGTCTCTTCATTTCTGTCAGTTTGTTTTAAAATTGTATTTTGGTGCTTTGTTTTTAGCTGCATATATATTTATAATTCTTATATCTTCCTGATGGGTTAACCCTTTTATCATTATAAAACGTTTCTCTTTACCACTAGTAACATTTTTAGTTTTAAAGTCTATTTTGTACCAACCACTGTCAAAAAATAAACTAATTAAAACGAAATCTGTTTTGTCTGACAGTGATATTGCTACATCAATTCCAGTCTTTTTACTTTCAATTTATTTGTATCTTTGGATCTAATGTTTCCCTTATAGCCAGCATGTTGTTGAATCTTGTTTTGTAATCCAGTCTAACAATTTTTGCCCTTTGACTGCATTATTTAATCTATCTATCTATCTATCTATCTATCTATCTATCTATCTATCTATCTATCTATCTATCTATCTATCTATCTATCTATCTATCTATCTATCTATCTATCTATCTATCTATCTATCTATCTATCTATCTATCTATCTATCTATCTATCTATCTATCTATCTATCTATCTATCTATCTATCTATCTATCTATCTATCTATCTATCTATCTATCTATCTATCTATCTATCTATCTATCTATCTATCTATCTATCTATCTATCTATCTATCTATCTATCTATCTATCTATCTAATCTATCTATCTATCTAATCTATCTATCTATCTATCTAATTTTTTTAAAGATGACCGGTAAGGGAATCTCAACCCTTGGCTTGGTGTTGTCAGCACCACGCTCAGCCAGTGAGCAAACCGGCCATCCCTATATGGGATCCGAACCCGTGGCCTTGGTGTTATCAGCACTGCACTCTACCAAGTGAGCCACGGGCCGGCCTTTTAATCTATATTTTATGTTATATTGATTTAGTTGGATTTACATCTGCCATTTTACCTTTTGTTTTCTATTTGCCTTATGTCTTTTTGTTTCTTTTTCCCTTTTACTACTTTCTTTTGGATTAAGTGAATATTTATTTATTTTAATGATTTTTTTCCACTACTCTGTGTGTGTGTGTGTGTGTGTGTGTGTGTGTATGTATGTATGATTGCTGTAGAGCTTACCATATACATCTTATTAGAATCAGCTTCAGATTGAAGCTAGTATGCTTATTATGCTGAATTCCTGTGAGATATAGAAATGTTATTCCTATATAGCTCTTCCATTCCCCCATTTAGTGGTTTGTTATACATATTACATCTATTACTGTAGTAAACACAATAATACATTATGATTATTACTTTATTGTTTTAATGCCCTTATAATCATTAATATATCTTAGCTAAGAAGATTATGGATAAATTTATCTCTTTCTCTCCTTCTTGGAAGCAATTTGAAACAATTATTAATTGTATTTTATTGATTGCAGGCTCTATACTATGTTTTCTTTCGATAAAAGTGTTGGTACAATGAAGCATGCCAATGTTAATAGTTTCATCCAGAGGCAAACTATCATCTATTTGGCAAGCTCCACGAGTTACTGTATGGAATTACAGAACCAGGATTAATGGTGGAGGTGTGAAGTGTGGATTGGCATTCTGCCTATTGTTCTGGCCTACCAAATATACACTGAATGTGTCTTGGTTGTATGGTCTAGTCCCTTTTTAATCCTTAAACAAAAAACTTATCTTGCCACTTATTTGTCCATTTTCTTATCATTACAAGCTCATTTGATATGCCCTTACTTATCCTGCCTAATTTCTCTGAACCTCAGTTTTCCCACTGTAAGTGTGTTGGACTGTATGATTCCTTAAGGTCCATTCTGTTAATTGCACACCCTCTCTGGTATTTGTGTATATGAACAATGAAGACAAAAAATCAGCAAGACAGGAGAAAGGAAGGCTCTGTATTATCAACTCATAAACAGCCCAGACTGTGATTTACCAACTCCTTTTCAGTGGCTGCATCTTTTTTTGGTTTTTCCAAGGGCTTAAGGTGGTGGTAGATACATGGGTAAATGTAAAATATCTTTGTGGAATTCTGTCTATAAAGTTTAAAAGTTTTGATTGGATTGCAGTCTGTTTATAGTACTGCCTGTAGAATACATGCCTACTTCATTCTGGCCCAAATATATAATATGAGTTTAGGTATGAATGTTGCTAACCTGACCTCTTGTTGCAGACAAAACTTACTTGGGGCCCCTACTTATGGTTTTACATGCTTCGGGCTGCCACATCAACCCTTTCAGGTATTGCTTTTCTGTTTGAATATTGTATAGTTGCTGTAATATGTGCCAACAACAGGAGCTTTGCCAAATGGGATATTTCCAAACTGAAGTAAAACAATAGGGAGTGAAGAACTTCATTCTCAACAGCTAGCTATCATTGGAAAATATTAATCTAACTTGTACTTCACCTCAAAACATTCTTTAGCTTTTTATTGTTTTAAAAAAAGGACTATGGAGAAAATTATGTTAAGTGAAATAAGCCAGGCACAGAGAGGGAAATACCACATGTTCTCACTCATACGCGGAAGCTAAAAAAATTGATCTCATAGTAGAGAGTAGAATAGTGGTTGCCTGAGACTCTCAAATATGACTTGATATATAATTAAGTCATATTTGAGGTGGGGTGAGAGGAGCAGGTAGGTACAAAATTAGAGAGGAAGAATGGGATCTAGTGTTCTATAGCAATATAGGGAGACTACAGTCAATAACAGAGTACTGTATATATTTCAATAGCTAGTCGAGATGATGGTGAATGTTCCCAACACAGAGAGGTGACAAATGTTTGAGGTGATGGATATACTAAGCACCCTGATACGATCACTGCACACAATATGAATGTACCCAAATATCATATTGTCCTCTATAAATATATACAATTATCTTGGCTCAGTTAAGAAATATAAAAAGAGAGCGGAAAAAATAGAGAATAGAATAATGGCTACCAGAGGCAGGGAAAGGGACTGCTAGGGGAGGACTGGGAAAGGTTGGCAGACCGGCACCAAGTTACAGTTAGATAGGAAGAATAAGTTCTGGTGCACTAGGGTGACAATAGCTAATAATATTGTATTGTAATTTTATAATAGCCAGAAAAGAGGATCTTGAATGTTATAATCACATAGAAATGATAAATGTTTAGGTAATAGACATGTTAACTATTCCGATAGGATTATTATACAATACATGCATGTATTGAAACAACAAACTGTACTCCGTAAACATGTACAATGAAAAAAAAGGGACTGAAAAATGGTTTTATTAATTTAAGTATTATTTTTATGTTCTTAAACCCTTTCTTTACCAACAATTTTGCTGCTTTGTAATTTGGTTTCCTCCTGGTATCATTCTCATTCTGTCTGCCTGCTTATCGTAAATGCTGTAATTATAGTTTATTTATGTTTTTATTTCATTTCTTAAGTTGATATATAATTAAGTCATATTTGAAAGAAATGAATTATCAACTTATGACTTAATCATGCTAATTTTAAATATAGGTTTTTAAATCACAGAGCTCCTGCCTAAAGCTTTCCTTTTTCTAATTTTAACTCCCTCGTAGTTTCTATCACTTTCTGCTTTTTACTAGGGCTAATTGTAAATAATAATTGATTCAACAAACATGTATTGAGCACTCACTCTATGCTAGACAGTCTGGTATAACTGAAAGAGCACAAGCTTTAGATTCAGACCTAGATTTAAATTTACAATCTGCTTTGTCACCTTGGGCAAGTTCTTTAACCTCTCTAAGCCTAACTTTTCAGTGCCTGGCACATGGTGGGTACTCAGTGAGTGTCATAAATTCGAGTCATTCCTCTCCTCCAGCCCAGTAATATCCTGGCTCTCTAAGAATATATATTTTTCTTAAAGAAATAGACATATAATAGATAATTATAATACCTGGTGATAAGTGTTATAATACAGTTATGAACAGACTGTTGTTGGGAGCCCAGAAGGAGCCACTAATGCTTCTCAGAAAAATCAGGGGAGATATACAGAAGTGAGATATATTGGCTTTTTATAATCTCCTTGAGGATAGGAACAGTAACCTTTATATTCTCACAGTGTCTTACACATAGAAGGTACTCAAGAAATGTTTATGGAATTGTATAAGTCTTTTAACTTTTGTATCTTTAGTGTGTGACTTTCTTGGAGAGAAGATTGCATCTGTTTTGGGCATCAGCACCCCAAAATACCAATATGCCATTGATGAGTATTACCGGATGAAGAAGGAGGTGTGTCTCCTTTTCACGTTTTCTTGATTCAGTTTGGTTTGCTGTAGACTTCATGGGTTGCATAATGAGTATATGTATCCTCCAGCTGTCCAAAAGATAGCTCCTGTATGCTAGGCATTTCATTCTAGAGTCATTAATTTCTTTATCAAATGAACATACATTTTAGAATTCTTTAAAACTGAAATTTCCCTAGGATATATGTGCTAAGCTAGATTTCATTGTGTTAGTATACATGAGGTTCCTTATATATGTTATTTAATCTTCACATACCTCTCTTAAGGTTAATATTCTAATTTTAAGATGAAGAAACATGACCCAGTCTCTGTACTTAGGGCACATAGATTGGATGTAGGAGAAGTGAAGTGGGTTTGACGCACAGAAAATTATAAATACTAGAAATATGTATGTTCCAGTTGTTAAGGCACATAGATATAAGGGCAGTACTATGCAGAAATAGTGAGGTCTTAGGGTGGGTTTAACCATAAAGAATGAGAAAGCTTTAGTGCTTAAGAGCATGGGCTTAAGAACAGAAAGGCCTGAATTCAAAATCTGGCTCTGCCACTTCTAACTTTGTAACCTTGGGCAAGATACTTAACCTCTATTAGCCTCAGTTTCCTCATCTTTATAATGAGGAGAATTGCAGCATTCAACTGAATAGGCTGACACCCTATAATTGAGGTGATATAGTATTAGCTAATTATCTGTTTATTTGTAATTAATTTTTTTTGGTGGCTGGCCAGTGCAGGGATCCAAACCTTTCCTTGATCTTGGTGTTGTAACATCATTTACTTGTTTTGCTTTTTATTTTTATCTCTTGGCTGTCCATGAAGTCAAAGATATCTTTTTGCTGTTGTTGCTGTTGGTTGGCCAGCAAGGGGAAACTGAACCCTTGACCTTGGCCATACTCTAATATAATTTTTTAGTAGAGTAGACTTAACCTGAAAAAAATATACCCCCTGTCAAAGTTAATTCAATTCTCGTCTAAGCTAGGTAGTGCTGGACCATGTTTTGAAAATTACTTTACTTTCCTTAAAATGTTTTACAATATTTATTTGGGAACAGGGGAAGGAGAAATATATCTTAATTAGATCGAACTGAATTGGACCTGACACTAATGTTTTGGTTTAAAAAAAGAAGATGGGACAAACTGACAGTGGGAGAAAAAAAACTATTCCTTATTCCTGGACATTGTATTTCAATTATTCTTGATATTTCCCCTTTTTAGGAAGAAGAAGAAGAAGAAGAAAACAGGATGTCTGAGGAAGCAGAAAGACAATACCAACAGAATAAGCTGCAGGCTGATTCCATTGTTCAGACAGATCAACCAGAAACAGTGGTATCCAGTTCATTTGTGAATCTCAATTTTGAAATGGAGGGAGACTGTGAAGTAATTATGGAAAGCAAGCACAATCCAGTCTCTGTGCCACCGTAGAATGAAATGACTATCAAACTTCAATTCCTAAGGTTTTCTTTTCTTTTTTGGCAGCTGGCTGGTATGGGGATCCAAACCCTTGACCTTGGTGTTACCAATACTCTGCTCTGATTGAGCTAACCGGCTATGCCCTAAGGTGGTTTTTTTTTATAGCAGAACTTCCACATTCTCTATTCAGTGAAACTTAATACAATTATTTATATTTTAAATTATTAATTTATCTGGAAGGGGAAAATGTTTCTTTATTCTTAGGTTCCATCTGGCAAAAGCCAGATCTCAAATTTGGTTATTTGTACTATGCTTTTACTGTGTGTTGAATTAGTGCTTTGGTTTAAAAATAGTCTAAAAAATGTAAAGGACATTCTAGAGCCCTAATTGCCAATTTAAGAAGAGTAAAATTATCTAGCTTGTCTGTTATTTGTGCATTTGTGGAAAAAAAAAGTGGGGGGGTAAGTTGCTGATTAAGGCTAATTGGAGCTGATAATCCTACAGTTTCAGTCTCAGATTAAAATGAAGATTTTTTTCCCCCTAGATTTTCTCATGTTATGCCTTACATTTATATAACTAAACATTAATTTCACACTAAGGATGAATGGTTCACTGAGTGTGTAATAAAAGGAGCAAGATGGAAGTACTTTGAATTTTCTTTCATTGAGAATAACTTTTATGAAAAAGTGTGAGTTTATTCAAAGAACTAGCTTTGTACATAATGTTAAAAACACTAGTTATGGAATGAAATTATTAACGTATTTGTATTTAAGTGGTAATGCCTAATGATTATCCACGTGGTATCCTGGTTGTGCCGCTCATTCAGCCCTAATGCCTCCTATAGGCAAAGTAGTTGGGGGACAGATTTAGATTTAACCAATAAGGAGCTGTTAAATATTGTACAAGGTACAGTGGTAGCATAATGAAGTTCTCTCTCATTCACTGCTTCGAAGTAGCAATAGTTAAGGTGGATGGACAGTTTACCAGGTTGGCTATTTCTCTACGTACTGGATTATTTGCAAACCTTGCAAAGGTACATAATATGAAGCTAATTTTGAAAGTATTCCTAAATATATATACAGAACCTTATGAGATATCTGTATGACTTTGATATATAACTGTGGGCAAGGAAGAATGTGTGGAGTGTTTTAGAAAGACTTATCTTAAAAGCCTTTTCACAAACTTAAGAGCTTTTAGAAGTTAATACTTAATAGCCTTCTAAACAGCATTAAGCTTTCAATCTTAAATATGTCTATATAAAATGTAACTTCAAAGAAACTCACAGCATAGGTACAGTGGGCCTATTATGGATCTTGTCAATGAACATGAACCAAGTTCCTCAACTGAAAATTGAAGAATTTAGGAGGGATAATTAAATTGTTCATTAGGAGTCTTAAACTACATGGATTAATGGTATGTTAGTTCATAGTATGTGATAATCTTTTTATTCATGGGTGTAAACCCTATGTAATTTACTGCTTAAAGGATTAATCTTCAGATTATGTAACTAATGTCACCATAAATTATAGTTTACCTGCAGCTCTAAATGCTAACCTGGCTTCTTACCACCAATTTGTTTATAACTTCATTTTGGGTGAGTACCTTCAACTCAGATATTTGGTTATCAAGTGAAGGTGGGTGTGTCTAAAGGTGATCTTCTGAATCTTCTTTCCCTATAGGCACGAGTACGTAAAACACTTTACCTAGAAACTTTTCTGATTGTAGTAGAAGGGAGATAGTGACTTATGAAAGTATTGTTCCTTGAATTTTACTTTCACTACCTGTCCAATAGTGACCAGTTTGTAATGTTTATAAATATACTGTGCCTTAAATTTTTATATTTTGTTTATGCAAATTATAAAATTTCCCATAAATGCAAGAAATGGTTTGTCTTATTTTTAAGTCTCTTTTTTTCCTACTTCCTTTCAACCCTCTGGATCATAGTTCATGATATTCTACCTTCTAAACTTTCACCTTATAGAAACTAAACAAAACAGTATAATTGAAGAACCTTTACACTGAATTATAAATTCTTTAAAAAAACGGACTTAAGTTTTGTAAATGTAACCCTAGTACTGGTTAATTAATAAAGCTAGACAAGTTTTTTATACCAATGATTTTAATGAAAATATTAGTTTGAATATTTTTATTGAAATATCCTATTAAAAGAAAGATCACGTCCAAATACTTCTAAACCAGAAATGAAATGGCTGTACTCTAATGAATGGGAAAGTCTGTAATCTTTGATACACATAATGTCTTAGAGGAAGATCGAAGGTTAAAATGATCATGTTAGTAATTTAAAACTATCCCTCAAATATTTAAATTTTGAATGACTAGTGTCAGAAATATTCCATGAAAACTTCCTTTATCCCTAAAGATTATACAGATTTAAATAGAACACCTTCTACCTACAGCAAATCACACTTTCCATATTTGACCTAAATGGAACCAGAACTTTCCACCTCCTAAAAAGCAATATTTGGTCCTATTGTTTCCAAACTATTGCAACCAACATTCCAGTAACCAAACCATCTGCTGTATTCTATACGCATGTGTTTTATTTAGGCTGTTTCTAAGGATTCTGTTTCAAAGGTTTCACATGCAGCATTTAAGCATATCTTAATGAAGACAGTGTAGTCTTTCAGAGATTACGTATCATCAAGGTCTGCAGAGTTTTCACTGTCATTTGCAACAAGGGCTTCTCTGTTCTCATAAGTCCAGAATCCATTCAAATCAATTAGAATGGTGGTGACTGTGTCTCCTTGATTACTGTTGATTAAATCCTGAAGAGAGATTTTCAAAGGATCCTTTGGTTTTACCATGTCAAAGATCTCATCCTGCAAGAGAGAAAAAAAAAATATATGATTCACTTAATTTCTGTCACATAGTGATCTAAATAAAATACAGAGCAGACACTAGGCTTATATAAAATATTCTGTTCTACTTTTTTCTCTTTTTCATTTAACAGACAGGCAATCTCCTTTACCTACAGTCACAGAATTTTTTTTTTTTTTGGCCAGCCATTTTGTTTGTTTTGCTGCTGGCCAGTAAGGAGATCCGAACCCTTGACCCTGGTGTTATCAACACCGTGCTTCAACTGAGCTAACTGGCTAGCCATCCAATCACAGAATTTTATTGGAAGATTCCTTAGCTATGTGACAGGTATCCCTCATTTTATAGATGAAGAAACCAAGGCTTAGAGTTAGTCTAAGCTACATAGCTAATTAGTGGCAGAACAATTTAATGCAGTGTTCTCTGAATACATGTTAACTCCTTATACTGTTGTGTTGCCTTGTAATTGGTGGTGAAAGGTCTAGATTTAATTTTTAAGTAAAAACTCAGCTCAGTTAAAGTAAAAAAAATTATTTATTGGTGGCTGGCCAGTACAGGTAAAGTAAAAATTTAAATACTTCAGAGATAGTGACCAAGCTTCATTTCCAATATATATTTTTTTTCCTTTTTGTCTTTTTTCGTGACCGGTAACGGGATCACAACCCTTGGTGTCGCGCCCGTACCGCGACCGGTAACGGGATCGCAACCCTTGGTGTCGTGCCCGCACCGCGCTCAACCAACGAGCGGACCGGTCTCTATATGGGATCTGAACCCTCGGCAGGAGCGCCGCCGCACTCTCAAGCGCCGCACTCTACTGAGTGCGCCATTGGGCCAGCCCTTCATTTCCAATATTGATGTCAACCTTTTACTCTGATCCTCGGATGGGATGGGAGGAAGGGGAGTTTGGTGTTAAAGAGTTAGTCATCCGGAATGATGCTAAATTGTGCTAAAACTTACTGGAATAGATAGAATAACCTCTTCTATATTGTTGTTTTTTTTTTTTTTTTTTTTCCCCCCAAAAGATGACCGGTAAGGGGATCTTAACCCTTGACTTGGTGTTGTCAGCACCATGCTCAGCCAGTGAGTGAACCGGCCGTCCCTATATGGGATCCGAACCCGTGGCCTTGGTGTTATCAGCACCGCACTCTCCCGAGTGAGCCACGGGCCGGCCCAACCTCTTCTATATTGTGAAGTGTACAATATAAATATTTGCAAGGAATTAGTACATGTTTTCTAATCTTTTTGTAGTAAAATTACTCAAGAATATTTAGCAGCATTTAAGAAGGCAATTATATTTTTAAAAGATTAGAACAATTCAGGTAAATGAAATGTGTGTGTGTGTGTGTATATATATATATACACATACATATTTTTTTTTTTTTAAGATGACCGGTAAGGGCATTTCAACCCTTGGCTTGGTGTTGTCAACACCATGCTTAGCTAGTGAGCAAACCGGCCATCCCTATATAGGATCTGAACCCGTGGCTTTGGTGTTATCAGCACCTCACTCTCCCAAGTGAGCCACAGGCCAGCCCTAAATGTATATATTTTTAATCCTGTATGTTTGTGAAATTTCCTTTTCTAGATTTGTTGTAGTTTAAAATTGCTAGTTCTTAAATTGCCTGTTGGAAAGTTTCAAATTTGTCTCATTTATGTTAAACCAAAATAGCCCTTTATTTTTGACCTGGTTAAATTGCTCAGGGTATTTTATTATGTTACTCAACTTGAACCAAATGGGACTGGATACTGAATGTTTTTTTCATAGCTGGTGAGTCTAATTACTAAAATGCTAAGTTGCAGCATATGTTTCAAATAGTGGGAGGCTTTCATATTGTAGGATTGATGTCTCCTTAAATCTAATATATCAAAGGGAGCAGCTCTTTGAGAAAGCATACTAAAAAAGAGCCCAAACCTAAATAGTTCCTAAGTTAAAAAGTTCAGTTTACAGTGGAATAGACTGCCAAAGAATGTAGGCTATACTGATTCTCTTAATTTTCAATTAAAATGAATGAATGCTTCCAATGAGAACACAAGGCTGACAATGCTAAAATTATAAATTACAGAAATCATTACTCTAAATGTGGTCTCAGTTTCTAATGATTTATATATCAATTCAGAACAAATAACAGCAAATACCTGATTCAGTATAGTACTTCATAGTTCATAAAATTGCTTTCATATAAAATTTCATGTAATTCAAATGATTATCTGGTATTATTATGGTAACATTATCTGGTAATATGTAAATTAAAGGAAAAGGTAACCTTAACATCTTGAAATGAAACAGGATCTTGTCCATGGATTTTCATTAGTTCCTGAATGGCCTGAATTTAGGGGAAATAAATGTGTAAATAAAAAATGAAATACACAATATCCTACCCACCTTTTGCTTCACAGCCCCCTTTTAGTTCTACTTTTTCTGTCAGACCACAGACCTCATCATCTCAACCACTCTAGCCAATCTTCTTAACTTTCCTTGACTTTGTTTCACATCTAGTCAGAAAACCTAAACACTGGGTCAATGTAACTGTTGACCTTTCTAGACCTGTACTTTAGCTATTGAGAACTTCAGAGGAAAAAAATACAACTACAGATTGCTGATACTACATAGGAATGTTCTCCAACCTTAAATAGGCCCTCAACATAGCCTAGTTAACTATTCTGTTATGACTAGCTCCTCCAATTGACCACGAATGCTGTTGTTACCTTCACCATTCTTTAAGACCCCCAATCCATCATCTCCCTTCCTACCCTACCCTTGCCTTCTACTAAATGGAGGTAGACCTCCCTCAAACTTTTTTTTTTGAAAATGTACTAAAATTTAATCATCCATAAAAGCTATAATTTAATCTGATAGTAAAACACAAAAAGCAATATTAGAGTTGGCTCAGTGTATATTTTAGCTTTGAAAGCCATACAAATCAGTTATCCCAGTTTTTTTCCTATAAAAGACCTATTTTTCCAAAGCATTATGAACAATTTTTATTAGAATATGACAGATATTTAATTTTTAAAATATAAAATGAAGTCAGTGACTCAAAGTTATCCGCCACAAAGTCAAACTCTTCCTTTTAATAAACTTTAACAACAGAAATGACTGAAGAAACTACTGTCATCAGTTGGAATAAAAAATACTTTAGGTCAGTCATTCAATGGGAAATGTAAAGCTTAAAATTCTTGGTATATAGTCAGCTAATTATGTTCCAAATATCCACTGTATAGGTGTTGCCACTGATAACAGAGACTTCACAAGGAATCTGAGTATGCCCAGTTAATACAGTGGTAGACTTGGATGGTATGATCTAGAGTGTACCATCCAGGCCCAATAGTTATCTCTGGGACACTGATGTACAAAGGCTTTATGAAAGTAGCCTAGGATTATAGAACTCAGCACTAGAAACTTTTTATCTTATTCCCTATAACCAAGTGTAAACAAGCTTTGACAAAAATAAATGCATGTATGAAAATTTTTAAAGTATTTTTAAAATAAAATTTAACATTCTAAGAGTAAAAGATACAGAGAATTCTTCATGAAAAAGGGGTGAATTTTTAATTTCCAAAAGATATATTTACTTTGTTCTTCTAAGACTGAATTTTCATTTAATAGGATTGTCTAAAGTGGGGCATCCCTATGGTGGGTTGTAGTATTATCTTCTCAGATTAGTCATTGGTTTAAGCCCAAATAGCATTCAGTTTTTTCAAAATATATTTTAATACTGGGATTATAATTTATCCAATATTTGCTGTCATTACTGTCTAAAAAATAATAATAGAAATTCTTTTAGGGAATTTAATATGAAATTATGAAATATATACTATGAAATTCATAACCAGATATGACTTCAGAAACCGGATAAGGTTATTTAAAGATTACCAAAATTTTTTTAAATGGAAAGAAAAAGTCTCTGAGGGAAAATGACTTATGACAAAGATGTGAAAATGTCATTTTTATTGTTTAAAAAAAACCATTTCTTCTATCAAGTGGAAGTTACTATTCAAGTTAAGGAATTACTATAACTATTCAAATTAAGGAATAATTTGTCTGACAAAGGGAGGCATTCCTGCTTTTACAAATGTTGTATCTGAATGCTTATCAGATACAATCGAATTCCATTTCAGAGTTTATCATGTTATTCTCTGAGACCAACTAAAGCACAAAAGAATATTTTCATCAAAATCTGTTTCACACTGAAATGCAGCACAAAATTCTGGCCTTCTCAAAAATTTTTATTTTTTTGTTAAAATTAATAATAATAAAAAATTTTATTTTACAACATAAGAATCTACAGCTACCAAAGTCTGTAAAGCTTCTGTGGAAAAGAGCCTACCTTTTCTGAACTGTTTAATGAAAGCTTAGGATTTTATATTTTATATACTAGTTTTTGATCAATAAGAGTGCAGAATTTCTCACGTGTTTTTGTATCTCCATTGGCTAGTATGGCTCTTGACATATATTTACACACTTTTTAATATTCTACATGTAATCAATTAAGCTTTGATTTAGCCCATTTATATTTTTAAAAACAGAAAAAATCCCTAAAAAAAGACTTGATTTCCTTCTGAAATCTGTTATGTAACTCCTTTTGTTAAAAATTTAAAAATTACAATTTAGGGAAAATTGTCACTAAGTAGGTAATTTAAACCAAATGGTACAGTGGATCTTAAGGAACAATGACTCATTTATACAAACGAGACTTACCCTAAAGAAGTAATTAAGGGAAAAGACATTCAGATATCCTTTGTTTTCAATGTCAAGCAGTTTGAAAATATACTGCAGAGCTGCAGGTTCCTTTCTGTTTTCTAATGCAAGAACAAAGTCCAAGTAGGTCTTATAGTCCTACAGAAAAGAAAATGATGTTTATTAAAGCCCTTAGTTGAAATTAACTTTTCAAGTGAATATCTGATGATACGAAGCTATCTTGCAATCAAAGGTGGCAAATTTTTTTTCTTAAATTAATATGAAATGTGAAATCCATTTGTACACTTAATGTTGGTTTCTAGGAATTTTATGTAGGAGTTAATTTGCACAGGATAGTTTTGGGCACATAGCTCATTTTCTTATGAGATCTGCTGTGTTAAACCATAATTTTCTTTCTTTATATTTTTGAAATAGACAAGACAGTGATTAAGCAATTATACACTACCACTAAACTTATATCTTCATTTCATTATGGTTGTTTTGAAAAAAAATTGTCTGGAATGAATAGAACAGTATATTTAAATTGCTATTTTGAAATATTGTTTAAAAATTTTCTTTTCTTTTTTTTTTTTTTGCAGCTGGCCTGTATGGGGATTTGAACCTGTCACCCTGGTGTTATAAGGCTGCACTATAACCAATTGGGTTAACTGGCCAGACTTAAATCAGATGATTTCCAATAAGAAGTTATCTTAAGACTGCCAGATATTCTATAGTGAGCTGACAACTGTTCCCATCCAAAAAAAGGCAAAAGAATTCAAATGAAGGCTAGAAAGACACGAAGAGAACAGAAAGCTTTCCCTATGAAAAAGGGATACTCATAGATTACTTTTTTTGCATGGTGAAAAGAAGTAGAATACTTGGGAGTTTCTCACGTAGGGAAAAAATTATACATTCTTGGAAAAGATTCTGTAGGCTGAGATGAGAAATTCCTTTCTCAAGCTCACTGGTTAGCATGTGGAACTAACGATTAACACCAAGGTCCGGGGTTTGATTCCTGTACTGGCCAACAAAAAACAACAAAAAACCCCACACAACCTCCCCTGCCATGCCCCCCAAAAAACCAAACAAAAATGTTCAAGAAATCCTTTCTGCATAATTTGCAGTATAAAGAGTTAAAGAAATGCAGCTTCTTCATGATCTAAGTCCATGCAAAGTTGTGGCCTCTGATTTTCTTTATTCGCCAGAAGTCATTAGTATACTATAAGCTCCTCACTGTCTACTGTCAACAGCTGTGGGAATCACAAAGAAGTTTGCCTTTTCCCTCTATTCGTTTGTAATGGTATTACTTAGGAAACTTATTAAAGTTAAATAATAAAATGTAAAACTCCATTCTCTTTTACACTATGACTATTGCTTAAGCATCACTGATTTGGAAAATTTATCAGATCCTTTTTTTGTTGGTTTAATTTCTTGTGGTGGCTGGCCAGTACAGGGATTGAACCCTGGACCTTGGTGTTATCAGCACCAAGCTCTAACCAAATGAGCTAACTGGACAGCCTTCCAGATCCTTAACACGTTTTTTTTTTTTGACCAGTAAGGGGATCGCAACCCTTGGCATGGTGTGGTCTGCACCACGTTCAGCCAGTGAGCGCACCGGCCATCCCTATATAGTATGTGAACCTGCGGCCTTGGCGCTCCCAGCACCACACTCTCCTGAGTGAGCCATGGGGCTGGCCCTTAACACATTTTTAATAGTTAAGAATGGTGAGTTTAAAATTCTATTTAGGATTTTCCTTCTCAAGTACTTTGCATTGTCATGATAAAAGGACAACTACACGTTGGTTATCTTCGGCTACTAATATAGCCACTTACAGAGATTAATACAACTTGATTCTAAGATTTAAATCATGGCATATGTGGTACTATATCTGACCTGATAATTTCATGACTGAACCATCTATATGGAAATAGTTTAAATAAGATTTTTCAGATTTTTTTAACTAGTCCATGCTCCTGTCCAATAGGTACATTGACAATGAAATGAACAAAATATTAAAATTTTATTTGCCCTGAACTCATAAGGCGAGCATTGTAATGTGACTTTACCTTAAGACCAAAGGCTCCAAATCAGTTCATACTTTTTAAGACACTGTTATACACTGACATATAAATAATGCTATATCACATCAAGAAAAGGGCTAGTGAAAACTTCAGGAGCTAAATTTTTTAAACTTAGCTGCAGATTTAAACAACTACCATTTCTCCATCATAAGTGAGACACTCTTGGAAAACACGGTCTAAGAAGACATTGGTCATGGTTGCTGTTCCATAGCGAGAGAGTTCTTCTTTACTGAGCATGCCATTGTGATCCTTATCAAGATTCAAATACTGGCCTTGGGAAGAAAGATGATAAAAAGATGCTTATAACCAAAATGAAATTTTAATTAAAAGACAAAAGAATAGACATTAACAAAAACTTATTTTTATTGGTTAACATTTCGATTTTCAAACTATTTATGTCATACTTAGGGTAGTGGCCTGTATGTAATAAACAACATAACCGTCTTTGCACTCTGGATCAGAACCACCATTATGCTACAACCAAAGAAAACTCATCATGAAGGTCATGGCCTTGAGGCTGTTTCACTTACATCGTTACTTGTTTTCAGTTTGCAACTTTTTAGAACATTCCTAGGTTTCTAAATTAGATGGAGGGTAGGGCTCAATAAAAAGCACTGAAATGCTAGCACTTGAAAGCAGAGATCAAGGATGCCAAAAGAAGTCAGAAGATCACCCAATAGGGTAATGTAACAGAATAATGAAATTCAAAAAAAGCAAACCCTAGGACACCTCCCTCTGTGGACCCTGGAACAGCATTTTATCACAAAGCAAGACAATACTTGATGTTCATAATGATGCTCCTGAGTCAACAAGAAAGGATCAAATTACTTTATTCTACTGAAAAGTAAGAAAGTGTTGGAACTTAAAAGGGGTTCCAAAAAGTTAAAACGCTGGTATTTAAACGAAATTTTAGTAATGTAGAATACTATATCTTAGGGTAACTAGAATACTTTGATCTTAAGGTAAATTAGTCTATGTATAAAACTGTCCTCTGAACACCAATTACCTGAGGAATGGATAATTCAAATTTTAGGATTATGATAGGAACATACCATAGACCCTTAGGGCAGAAGGAGCAGAAAACCAATTTGTTTCTTGACTCTCCTTGGATAGTTCCTCATCCCTTAGCTAAAGGAACACAGAGACATAATTAGAAGATAGCAGTTGTCAAGTGGTATAATTAAGTAGTTTAAAAACATATTTAGGGGCTGGCCCGGTGGCGCACTGGATAGTGCGCCGCTTGGGAAGCGCGGCGGCGCTCCCGTCCGAGGGTTCGGATCCCACATACAGACCGGCTCCCGCTCACTGGCTGAGCGAGGCGCGGGAGCAACGCCGAGGCTTGCGATCCCGTTGCCGGTCCCCGGTCCGGTACGGGGGCAACACTGAGGGTTGCGATCCGTTGCCAGACACGGAAAAAAGACAAAAAAAAAAAAAAAAAAACATATTTACCTCCAACAAATCATCTAGGAAGCTGCATGCTAAAATATCTTGAATTTTTATCTTCCCTTTAAAGAATATAAAGAAACACCATTACTTAATTTCATTTTAAGAACAAGAGCACTTCAGTTTTTTAAAGGTATTATTTTACAAGAGAAATTACACAATTGATATTTTAAAGTTTCTAGTTGTTATGTTCCAAAGTCCTTATTCCATATTGCTATGAAAAGGGAAATTACAGGGAATATTTAATAAAATTTCTACTAGTATACCCCAAGTATATAAATCTAAGTGGTAAATTCTTTCTAAAATTACGCTGGTATCAGATTCCCCCCAAAATCGACTATTTTATGATACTGCTGGTAATCAAGTAAGGAGACTGTCTCAATTTTTCTTTGGCAGGTTCTGGAATAGGAAGCAATATCAGAGGTGTGGTTAAGAGCAGACAGGTGGAAGTTTGAACGCCACTTCCACATATATATATATGTAATATCATTAAGTCTTAGCTGTCTCATGCATAAAATATGCATAATGGTACCTTCTTTATGGGGTTTTGAGAATGAAAGAATCCATGTTAAGTGCTTAGCATACTGACTGGTACATAATAGACAGTCAAAACAGCTATCATTTTGTAAAATTTCAAAGGGAAAAGATGTGTATTTACTTACAGTGGAGGAGTTTTAAAAAGATCATCAGCTAGCATGTGCTGTGATGGACTCACAGATGGATTTTCAAGAACAGAAGGAGAATCAAAAAGGACTTTAATTTGGGCCTTGTTTGTCCCTTCCTCTGCCTCAATTACATGTGTTTAAGTTTGGGCAGGTTACAACAATTGATAAAGCTACTGTTAATGAGTCCAAATTTACTTACTAATCTGATCCCCACTGAGGATAGTTAAATTGAGAAAGAAAAACACATCATGGCTAAATGACTCTCATATCCCCAAATGCATATTTTTCATCAAAAAGAACAATTCTCTAGTATGTCACATTATATTAGAATAACTGGCTTCTTAGAACTGAAAGGAGACATAATGTTTGATTACCCAGTTCACACCTGTTTATCTTAGGGATGAAGAAAACTGTAAGAAGTTGGGTGACATCCCCACTGTCACACAGTTGGTTATATGTCAGTGCAAGTAAATCTTAAAAGATCTTTATATAAACCTAAACCGAAGCACTGATGCTGTGTTTTGTACTTTTCTAACCCCTTGAGATTTGCCAGATTATTAAAGGCAAAGACATGTTAGAAAAAATAAATATATGACATTTTTCAAAACTTTTCTCTAGTTATGAGATTTAGATGTAATATCCTCATAATACCTAACTTAAGGTAAGATTTTCTTTTACCTGTTCTTAGTGGGTCTAAAAAGAAGAAGAACTTCCTAACTGCTGTGCAAACATAAAAGGAGTAAAAGGATTTTTCCAGCCCATCTAACTGTGGCAAAGTAGGGATAAGTTCCAATATGTAGTTTTCTAAATCCTGAAAATAAAACAAAACAAAAATTTAAAGTATTAAATGTCCAATCTTGATTCTTCATTAGATACTGGGATATAATTTCAGTCCTAAAACTTATTCAGCATTAATATATTGATGATGAAATAAATTCATGACTATGTTAGAGGTGAAACTATTTTATATTAAATTTTTTTCTACTAATTTACTTTTTATTTCAACTTAAACATATTTTTGAAAAAGTAATACATTTTATATAGTTACAAATTGAAAAGGAACAAAAACATATTCATTAAAAAGTCTCTTCTCGGGGCCAGCCCGGTGGCGCACTGCTACAGTGCGCCGCTTGGGAAGTGCGGCGGCGCTCCCGCCGAGGGTTCGGATCCCACATACAGACCGGTCCCGCTCACTGGCTGAGCGAGGTTCAGGAGCAACACCGAGGGCTGCGATCCCGTTGCCGGTCCTGGTCCGGTACGGGGGCGACACTGAGGGTTGCGATCCGTTGCCGGACACGGAAAAAGACAAAAAAAAAAAAAAAAAGTCTCCTCTCACCTATTTCCTCTCCCTATTGGTAACGTATTATCAACTTCTGATAGTTTTCCAAAGATAACTGATGCAAACACAGCCCAATACATATATATGCATACTTCTCTCCCTCTTTTTACAGAGGGTGAAGCAGCATACCATGAAAATTGCTTTTGTCATTTAACAATATACTTTATAGTCACTCCATGTTGCCTTTCAAAGAGCTTCTAGTATTTTAAATGGCTGTTTTTCATTCTATGGATGTACCATAATCCATTTAAGTAGGCCTCTAATAATGGGCATTTAGGTTGTTTCTAATCTTTAGCTACACTAAAAACAATACTTATAAGGGCTAATTTTTCATTCATAGATATTGTGGAATATAGGATGCAATTTCTGTAAGTGGAATTGCTGGGTCAAAGTATATGCATGTGCATAATTTTGACTGATAGACAATGGCAAACTTCCCACCTCCACATAAAGGCCACATGCATTTTACATTCCCACCAGCAATGTGAAGTCTATTTCTACAGTTCCCAAATTGAGCACGCAGGTGCCCTGGGAATGCTCCAGTGAAGTCCTAGAGGTGCAGCAGGGTATTTTAAAATTTTGAGGGAAACATAGCAACATCTGTTGGACACTAAGTGACAGATGTTGCTATGACTTAGAACTACTAGTTTAAGGTAGTTCACATTTTCAATCTTAAATCACACACACAAAAACTGCAATATATTCCTTGTGATGCCATAAACCATTGCAGAGCTAGGTTTTTGATGGTTCCTACCACACGAAAATCAGTGTAGAAAAGGAAATGAAGATGACTGTGTCCAACCTAATTCTCAGGTTTGAGCAGTTGTACAGTGCCCGGTGGGCACATACATCTTATTAGTAACTGTTATTGAAGAAAAAAGTATAAGTATTTTCTTTCAGCTTTTGTGTATTATTTTTCAAATGGCTAATAGGATAGGATAATGAGCTTAATAAATACTTTCATTAAATTGTTTAGAACTGGTTAACAAATGGAATTGTTAGGGATTTCTTTTGGTCCGGAGGCACTCTGAAAAAATTACTGAGACACTAAGGATGTCATTAAAAGCATTATCAAACTTTTTGATTTTTGTCAATCTGAAAGGCAAAAAATCATATCTTAGTGTAGATTTATCTGGCATTTCTCTTATTATGTGAAATTAAAGTTTTTTCTTTTTTTTTGAAAGATGACCGGTAAGGGGATCTTAACCCTTGACTTGGTGTTGTCAGCACCACGCTCACCCAGTGAGCGAACCGGCCATCCCTATATGGGATCCGAACCCATGGCCTTGGTGTTATCAGCACCGCACTCTACCGAGTGAGCCACGGGCCGGCCCTAAAGTTTTTTCTTATGATTAAGAAACATCTGGGGCCGGCCCTGTGGCTCACTTGGGAGAGTGCGGTGCTGATAACACCAAGGCCAAGGGTTCGGATCCCACATAAGGATGGCCGGTTGGCTCACTGGGTGAGCGTGGTGCTGACAACACCAAGTCAAGGGTTAAGATCCCCTTACCGGTCATCTTTTTTTTAAAAAAAAAAGAAACATCTGTATTTTACTTTCTGTACTTTTTAAATTATTTATATCCTTTGCCCAGTTTTTTATTGGGTTAGTGGCCATTTTCTTCTTGATTTCTAGGAGCTTTCTATATATTAGGGTAATCATTTGTAACTGAGTTTCAGATATTTTCCCCAGTTTGTTTTCTTTTAACTTTATTTATGATGGTCTTCGACCTACAAGTTTATTTTAATTTGGCTGAATTTATTGTTTTTTAGACTTCTGAGTTTTGTCATACTTAGAAAGGCTTTTCCTATTCCAAGATTATATATTCAAGCTGGCTTCTTCCCATGGTTTTCTTATATTTATTTTTAAACTTTATTTTTGCTTTAACCATTTGAAGTATGTTTCTGGTAGATCTGAGATACTTTATAATTTCAGTTTAAGGCATCTCAAACTTAACAAGTCCAAAATGGAACTAACTCTCTTCTCATCCCCAACCCTGGTCCTCACCTGCCTCTCCCCTGTTACACAATTATTCAAAATAAAAATATAAGACTCATCTTTCGTTCTTACTTTTCCTTCACCAGTTCACTCATTCCTTACCCCCAACATCCAATGCAGCAGTAAGTTTTTGGTTTTTTTTGTAAGGTGTTGGGGGTGGTATCCAAAATATATATTGAATTAATCAATCTATTTCTGGCTTTCTTTACAGCTACCTGGACAGGGCCACTGTCATCTCTCACCTGAACTACTGCATTAGCTGCCTAACTATTCCTGCTTCTACTTTAGGCTTCTTACAGTCCTCCACACAACAGTGAGAGTGAAACGTAAATCATATCCTGACACACTCAGCTTAAAACTTCCAGTGGCATCCCATTAGCTTCAAAATAAAATTCAAAACTCCTTATCATGGCCTAAAAGGCCCTACACGTGGCCCCTGCCTACTTCGACATCATCTCCTGTTACTCTAATCCTTGTTCATATGCTCTAGCCACACTGGCTTCCTTCTGTTCCTAGGACAGTTTAGGTTTAATTTTGCCTTGGGGACACTGTACTTGCCTTTCCCTCTACTACATCTTCATAAAGCTGGCTTCTTTCTCATCCTTCATGGCTCAAATTTAATCACTATCTCAAAGAGGCGCTCATTCCATCCTATCTAAAATAGCCCCTACCCCAGTCATACTCTTGCCAAGTACCCTATTTTACTTTCTCCATACAACTTGTTACTATTTAAAGTTATCTTGCTTATAATTTAGTGTCTGTCTCCCTACTCTGCTAGGAAAAAATAGCTCCATAATGGTAAGGCTTAGAATAGTACCTGGCACAAATTAAGTGTTCACTAAATGCTTATTTAATAAGATTTAGTAAGTGAATGAAAGTCTGCATATATTACTCAAATTATAGATGTTGGTCTTGAAGGCACTTTTAGATTAGTAAGACACAAAGTCTGGTTTCTTTTTTTTTTTTTAAAGATGACCGGTAAGGGGATCTTAACCCTTGACTTGGTGTTGTCAGCACCATGCTCTCCCAAGTGAGAGAACCAGCCATCCCTATATAGGGATCTGAACCCGTGGCCTTGGTGTTATCAGCACCATACTCTCCCAAGTGATCTGGCCCCAAAGTCTGGTTTCTAAAGGCAAAGTGCCAAGGTTGGAAGAAATATTTCTTTTGAGAGAAGTGTTTTCTTTCACTGACAGAACAGAAAAATTATTCCCTTTTAAAAACAACTGTAGAGATAGACTTTCCTCTTCCTTTCTCTTTCAATTTTTGTTTCTATCTGTGTAAAGAGGCAAGACAAACAATAATAGGGGAGTGTGTTCGATAAACCAAACCACCAACCAGAATTCTCAGAGCTAAGTATCAACAGGTGGCTAATTATATATTCCTTGCTAGAGAGAGATGGACAGAGGCAAGAGCCTTTTATATTCAGGTTGGTCTGAAACTTAAGGGACAAGAATTATACTGTGTCCCTGGAAAGGTATCACAGTGTAAATGTTCAGAATGAGTTAGCAGATTTTATCTACAGAAATCAGAAATACAATAAATTATAATAGGAACCATAATAAACTGCAATGATGAATTTAATTTCTTTAAACCTTATATTTGAATAATTATTTGATTAATTAACCTAGTTCATATTTGTGCCCAACTCCCTTCTCCCTCTTCTCCACAATCCTAAAAAGGACTCCATATTTGGGAAAAAAGCCTGAGCTGAAAAGAAGCATGTTCATGTAATATAGGTTCCCACACTTACAAGAAGCATAGCCATTTGGATCATGAGGTTATAATACTCTGCTGATAACTTGGCCTAACTACATTAGTATTTAATAGAAAATAAACAGCCTCTTGGTAACTAACCTTACAACCCTAAACCTACAGGTGGTAATACAGTCACATTAATTTTCTCTTATATTTCCTAAAAAAAAGAAAAACTTTCTGGCCCTTTTTAAAACAATCACACATTGATATCATTCACGAATAACCAAAAGTTTCTCACTGTTTCTTCAATGATTTTTAAACCTGTTGAAACACGTTTTAAAAATTTTCCCTTTTAAGAGGCCTTTTTATAAAGATAGGAGAAAAAGAATCTAAAAAGGAATTTTTATGGTCAATATACATTAAAAAATTTTTAATAAGATATGTTTGTAAAAGCAAAAAAAAAAACCCACCCATAAAAACAGAAAAAATAAGAATCACTTGTAATCCCAATACCCAGCTATAATTACTGCTAACAGTTTGGTGTCTAGTAGTTATTAAGAGTAGGTTAATACTTACAGATTCCCGAAGGTACCCTTGCCCAGCAACGTCATATAAACTGAGTCCTATTCTCGTTTGATGAAGCCAAACTGACAATAAAGAAGAAAATGAAATGGAATTTTTCTTTTTTTTTTTTGTCTTTTTCGTGACCGGTAAGGGGATTGCAACCCTTGGTGTGGTGTCGCCCACACCGCGCTCAGCCAGTGAGTGCACCGGCCATTCCTATATAGGATCCGAACCCGCAGCGGGAGCGTCGCTGTGCTCCCAGCGCCGCACTCTCCCGAGTGCGCCACGGGCTTGGCCCTGAAATGGAATTTTTAAGATCTATCCTTTAGCATATGTGGAAAAATAGGAGATAAAGAGCTAGATTAGAGGTACAACAAATTAATCCAGTAACTCTATAAACTTATTTCTTCTCACACATATTAATTACTAACCTCAAAATTGTTTGAAATAAGGGCGGCCCTGTGGCTCACTCGGGAGAGTGCAGTGCTGATAACACCAAGGTCACGAGTTCGGATCCTATATAGGGATGGCCGGTTAGCTCACTGGCTGAGCGTGGTGTTGACAACACCAAGCCAAGGGTTAAGATCCCCATATTGGTCATCTTTTAAAAAAAAAAAAATTGTTTGAAATAGAACAAACATATCACAAAATAGCAGATTTCAACAATTTTACCCTGACTAAAGCTACAATAATATTGATGCCCTTGAGGATATCATTCTTTACCTATTAAACTTGGTGTTCCACCAAATAGGGACAGCTAGTCTAATTTTATGCCTTCAATGAAGCTGCTTTTATTCTACTGAGGTTAATTACAGCAACCAAGTATTAGTTAAAGATAATACACGATAGAATTTCACAGGTCATTATGATACTTAAAGGAATCATAACAACTCCAGGTTGTTTAATAGAAGCTCCTTGAAACTGATGCTTCAGTTGTGGGTTTGAAACTATCCTTTCAAGCAACTCAACCAGTAATATAATGGTGAAATAAAATTACCAGTAAATTAAAATAATTTCAAATCACCATACATTAAAACTCTTGGTTCAACTTTTGATATTTCTCATTTGATGCTATCTTTAGGATACATGAGGGTGTTTTTGTTTTTTGTAACAATGAACCCAAATTTACAGTAGAAAATTATAGCTCTTCTACACTCCATGAGAGAATCATAATAATAGTATAACAAATCTTAGTCAAAAGACAAGAAATTCTGCTGTTCAAACTTAGTAAGAGAGTTGTTTCACATGGAAGAAATACTATAAAAGCACCACCCAAAAACCTGCTTTAGTCCAGATGGGAGGAGTTTAAGAACCATACAAATGAATCACCTTTTCTCATGACGTAATTAAAGAACTGCATGATGGAAATTCTTCCATACGAATCTGTATGAAGGAGTTTAGCAAAGACTTTTGCTGTGAAAAACTGCCTAAGAAAAGGAAGTACAGATTAAAATGGTCTGCCAACATAATATAAAGACGACTTCTCTATGAATTAGCTAACAACAGCATACATTCATACAATTAAAAATCAAAGTGAAAAAAAATCAAAGTGAGAACTATAGAGACTACTTGTAGTTTAAAAACTTATAATTTTAAGAAGCCTGACTGGTTAGCTCAGTTGGTTACAGCGTGGTGTTTATAACACAAAGGTCAAGGGTTTGGATCCCCTCTGGCCAGCCACCAAAAACAAAAAAAAAACTTTTAATATTAAGTTCTAATATTAAGTCATACATCTTTGCATTCTTTTTTTTTTGTTTTTGCATTCTTTTGTCTTATGAATGAAGGCCTAAAATATCATAACTATATTATTTCTTTTAACAACTTCATATCAAAGTAATTTTTCATGGCTATAAACAATTTTAGTAAATTTCATTAGTAACTCAAATGGACTCGAACATAATACCATTGATTTCAATATTCATTAACATTTGAGGCATTTAAAATGCTTAACATGGGCTGAGCCCGTGGCGCACTCGGCACAGTGCGGCACTGGGAGCGCAGTAGCGCTCCCGCCGCGGGTTCAGATCCTATATAGGGATGGCTGGTGCGCTCACTGGCTGAGCGCAGTACGGCCGGTCTCAAAAAGGATAAAAAATAAATAAATAAAATGCTTAACATAACATATTCATTTGTTAATTATTCTTACTTGCACTTTGGTCCAGCCTTTTCACCAACCTTCAAAAAATTTTCATAATTGATCATTGCTTCCTCTCCAATCATAGGCGGCGTCTGGTGTTTGTCCAGCAAAAACCATAAGTTCTTAAGAGAATTGCATAAATAAAGATGTAAGTTTTAAAAAAACCCAAAATTAAAAATGTAGTTAAATGTGTCATTTCCATTAAAACGATAGTCTGATAGCAGAGTTAGTACTAGATGAAGCTCATGCCCTATTATCTTTTTGATTATTATTAATAAAAATACATAGCATTTATTGAGTGCCTATTAAATTTTAAGTCCATATAACTATATGATGTAGGTAGTTTTCTACTTTACAGAAGAGAACTGAAGCACAGAGATGTTAAGTCCGTTGCCTAAAGTAATAGAGCAGGGCTAGGATTTGAACCTCTGAAGTCTGACCCTACAATGGTGGTTCTCAAACTTGGCTGCACATTAGAATCACCTAGAGACTTAAACAAAAGCAAACCAAACAACACTATACTTGGGGAACATGGCCCATGCAAGCTCAGCAGCTGATTCTGGTGGGAACCACTGCTTCAGAGCTTATGCAGTACCACTCCACAGTACTGATTCCCCTAGGCACCATAAGATACTGCATGATTTAAATAGTACAAATAAGAAATGGTTAATATCTAAAGCAACTTTCTACTTCATTCTTACCTGTAATTCTTCATTATCTAATAGCTCTCTGCTTTTCCTCTGTAGAAAGACAGCTCTGGATTCCTCTCTTAATTTCTGTAGTAGGACTTCATCTTCAGCTGGCAACTAAAAATACATTGTAAATTTCTAAAATTAAAAAAATATATTGTAAATTTTCTAAAATTAAATTTTAGACTATTGGATCATGTAAAATGTATGTGGACTCATAAAATAACTATATGCCACTGGCTCAAATCGCTTCTTGTATCTCACCTTAATTCTGATTAACATTCATTTAACAAAAACAGGTCCACAGAGAATTGAATGATCAGGAAGGCAAGATCTCTGCCTTGAGAAAGCTAATAATCTAGTCCAAGCTTCCTTTTATATTCTTAAAGCACTGTACTTCCATTGTCACCTTAGACTGATACAGAATTAAATTACTCGGGGCCGGCCCGTGGCTCACTCGGTAGAGTGCGGTGCTGATAACACCAAGGCCATGGGTTCAGATCCCATATAGGGATGGCCGGTTCGCTCACTGGCTGAGCGTGGTGCTGACAACACCAAGTCAAGGGTTAAGATCCCCTTACCGGTCATCTTTTAAAAAAATAAAAGTAAATAATTAAATAAATAAAATAAAGTGCTTTCTGAGGAGAATTCTAAAGGCATCAAACACCAGCGAAAGTTTTGTTTATGTTTGGCTGCACCGATACACGGTTTGGGCACTCGAACCCAGCAACATTTCTCCGTCCCACCTTCTAAGGAATGTATGGAGGGAGGAAAGCCTAGCATCATCGGTGGCAGGAAAACTCAGGCCCAGCCATGGAGAGCCCAGAAACGTGTGCTTTCTCCCTCATCCCCCTCGCCTCCTCCCCACCGGCCTTCACTACCTGGCTCCGCCCCCTACTTCTCATTCCACTCTGTCATCCA